GATTCTATTCTATTTTTAAAAGTTTAAGTAATTAAAAATCATGTTTATATTTCAAGTTATATAAGAATATTCGAGAAATTTAGGGGAGATCACTCCTGGTTTATTTGTGATAGTGTATGTTGATGGGGTGGAAGGGGTGAGGTATAAAAAAAATACTGAGATTGTTTTGTGTTATCGATAGACCATCACGTATTGATTTTATTGGAGATCGTTATTTTAAAATACGATACAAAGCCTTTAGTATTTCAAAATAATACTTTAAACAACGTTTGATTGTAGTAGTCCAATAATATATTTTTTATTTTTTGGACGCTTTGTATCTCGGCCCCATCCCCATTTGCCTTCATAAAAAAGTGAGGAACACCCCCCCCCCTCCCCCTTGGTATTTGTATGTGAAATAACGGATACAGTTTATTACCGTGACATCACACACTCTTCCACCCGTCTCTTCCTCGTCACAAACTGGTCGCCCACGTTTCAATATTTTAAAACAAACGTTATCTTGCAATATAAATGTTTACAATGGTGTTAGCCTAAAAAAATTTTAACCTGACGCCGAATGTGTAACTATTATATTTTTTGTTGATAAATAACAAATACTGAATACATTCGACAATTTATTTGATGAATTATTTTTTTAATTTATTTTTTTTTTTACTTTTTTAGCGCAATTTCAAAAAAAGAAAAATTGCGTTTAATAATGCGTCATTTCTGGATGGATGGATGTATGGATGTATGGATGTGTGTCCGCAGCTTTAAGTCGTATCTCCTCCTCAACGAAGCAATATCGAGGACTAGTTCCAAAAGCAAATATGTTAAGCAAGTTCCGATGATGATTGTGGGCCAAAACAATTCCCGGAATTCCTTCCTGGATTTCCCGGAAAAGCCAAAAAAACTCGAAAAAATGCAGTTTTTGGCCCATATCTCGGCAACCAGACAACTTAGCGACTTGAAACATTTATCAATAGATTCCTGCCATAATTTAGAACAATATTGCCGAAGAAAGTTTTCAAAAATATCCTTTCGTTCGGTCACAAAAAAAATTTAAATTACAAACCGATCGTTCTCCTAGCTTGAACGCACCCCAGCATTATACGTCTATGTCAGGAGTCTCCAAACTACGGCCCGCGGGCCGGATGCGGCCCGTGAGGTCTTCTCGTCCGGCCCGCGGAGATCTTCTTGTCCACGCAAAAAAATGTTTGTTGGAGGTGTCTGAGGAATTTTGCCCAGAAAATTTAAAACAATTAGAAAATGTAGCTATGGGTGCAAATGCCATTGCCCACCATGTTGCAGACATTGGTGAAAACATTGTGACTCAAATAGCGAAAAATGCAGACAATTTTCGCCATTTTACTTTCTCGTATATACGAAGTATAGAGAAAGTCTTGTAATCGTGCAAAAACAAAAATCGAGATTTTTGCAAATCTCGACGTTTTACACCTCACTGATAAGGAAAAACATAATTTTGCAATCTTGACCGTATGTCTGTGTGTCTGTGTGTCTGTCTGTCTGTCTTTCTGTCTGTATGTGTGTAAATACGATAACTTGAGTACCGTTATAGCTAGGTTGGTGAAATTTCATATATAAGTATTTTATCAAAATCATATCATACGCCGCTATTTAGTTGTTGTTTTTTCTACTTTTCAGTTATTCATAATTTGTGAATTCGACATTACCAACGCCGCCACTGAAAATATTTCTTTAAAACACTATAAGTAGCTCGTTAAGGACGATAACCCCCCCCCCCCTTCTCCCGTCCCTCCTTTAAAGTAAACTCCACTTTGTTACCCCCCCCCCCCCCCTACGTTTAAAATCGTTTCAAACTAAATTATCTGCCCCTAATAGTCGTCACTAAACCCGGCTCTGTTTGTAAACATTTAGAGTGAACGACAGCTCACCAGACCATGTAGGGGTGGGATGTGGTAGGGAGCGCGTTTACAGCTTGTTTTGTAGCGTCTCCCAGAGGAGAATTATATATATAGATATATATAGATATTCGAGAAAGTTTAGGGTAGATCACTCCCGATTTATTTCAATTGCAATAGATGAGTCGCTTGACAGATGTTCTACCATACAACTGCTTGTGTTCATTAGAGGTGTGGATGAAGACATGAACATAACATAAGAGCTGGCTTCTCTACAGAAAAACATTCTGCAACAAATGTTCCTACACTATTATTTACCAGCAAGCTTTGTTGTGTATTGAATAATGTGGTGAAGATGGTGAATTTAATAAGGTCAGATGGGTTCACCTATAGATAGTTCAGAGACATGTTGAAAGATACAAAAACAGAATCGCAAGATTTACCCTATTACACAACAGTAAGATGGCTAAGTTGTGAGAAAGTTCAGAGCAGAGTATTTAAGTAAAACGGAAATAGGTTACTTCCTGGAAAGTAAAGGCAAGCCACAGAAATTAATGTCTGATGATGATTGGGTATGGAAATTTTCCTCTGCTACAGACATAGCTAGCTAGTCATTTTAATTTTCTGAACCTAAAACTACAAGAGAGGGAAACCTAATTTCTGTTCTTTACACACATCTTAGGGCTTTCAGATCCAAAGTTGTCATGTTTTTAACAAATACAGACCAACAACTTGATACACTTTCAGCAGTGCAAGTCTTAATGACTGAGGCAACAGCTAAGACTAAGTCCCACGGGTCATTTGTATGCGAAATCATCAAAGCTGCAGTTTCAGTAACAATTTTCTGACTTGGATTCGAAGGCAAAAGAAGTGAGACTGTTTCAAAACCCATTTTAAGCAGATGTGGCCAGTTGCCCATATGAACTGCAGCTGGAGGTCGTTGAATTGCAAGCAAATGATCTCATTTGAGACAAGTTCAAAGAAGGGCGGGTGGGTTTTTATAAGTTTTTGCCCTAGGAAGACTTTCCTAATATTAAAACTGTTTCATCAAAGTACCATTCAAATTTTGGAACAATATACCAGAATGAAATACGTGAAGAAAAAATTTGAGAACAAACTTTGAGCTCGACAGTATTTCTTTCTGACATTTTTTCTCAGGGGAGGACGACGACACTTGAATTTTGTATATATTTCTAGATGCATTTCATTTCGTCGGGGGGGGGGGGGGGGGGGGGTGCATCTCAAAAAGATGCCTCGAAGAAACTCTGGCCCACGAAGTGATATTTTCTAGTTAATGCGGCCCTCGGGCTGAAAAGTTTGGAGACCCCTGGTCTATGTGATCACTATCTTTTTTTAGATAACATAAGGAAATTGCGCTTAAATTGTCACTAGACTTTTTATTAACTTGTTTTTATTTTATTTTTACTTGTTTTTAATCACAACGTCCGTTTGCTGTTTCATACTGTACTGTTAAGGCTTCATCTGCCCGCGTTATTACATGGTAAATCATCTTTGAACGTCTGCTCCTGTCGCCCCGCTTGATGTGGGTCAAAGAGGTCGCGATGAAAAAGTCTGGGCAGGGCGGGGAGCGACCGCAGTAATGGCTTGGAGCTCAGCGATTGGTCCATAAATTGATGACACGACCGGTCATTATAAAGATGTTACGATTAGGCTTAATACGGTATGGGCTAGGCGGGTAGCCTACAATAGGTTAATCTCTTGGTCCCAAGGATTCTAATCGAAACTTGAATCAAATCGGGTCATCGATAATAATTAATATAGCGTAATGGGTTTCAACATCGTAATTACCAGTTCCCAAACTATACAGGACAACCTGTAGCTTGTATTTTTCATACACCCCCACCCTCCTTTCTGTTTAAACCCTAACATCTTTAAGTTTGTCCATATAACGATTTCACATTTTTAAAGCCAAGTTTTTACCCACTCCTCACAAACTTGTTAGCGTCACACGTCGTCACAAAAAAAACCAAACCCTCCCTCACCTAAACTAAGATCACAAAGCTCAACGTTTTGTTCACTAAGTTATCATATGATTATAGATAACCCCCTGACGTAACAATACCTTATCCAGGGGCGTAGCGAGGGGGGGGGCGGGGGGGTGCGGACCGCACCGGGTGACACCATTTAGGGGGGTGACACCAAGGCAAAAAATAGCAAAATATATAGAGAAAAACTCGAGGGGGGGTGCAAATCGAAAGTTTGAGGGGGGGGGGGGGGGGTGCAAATCGAAAACTTGAGGGGGGGGGGTGCAAATCGAAAGTTTGAGGGGGGGGGTGCAAATCGAAAGTTTGAGGGGGGGTGCAAATCGAAAATTTGAAAGTTTGTCCCTGGGAAGGGTCTCTATGCCTCTGGGGGGGGTGACACCATTAAGTGCCGCACCGGGTGACACCCGACCTCGCTACGCCACTGACCTTATCCCATACTCTTGTGTTAACATCTTTGCAGTAATCACGGTAGCAATTTGTGGCAGAGTTTGCTGTGTTTGTTTGTTTTTGTTGTTTTTTTTTTAACTTTCTCGTATACAGAGTATAGAGGAAGTATTGTTATCGTGCACAAAAATCGCATGAAATTGTGACAGTTTTCATCGCTTTACACATCAGTTTTTCATTATATACGGAGTATAGGGGACTTATTTTAATCCGTCAAAAATTATAAATGCAGATTTATCAAAATATCAGCGTTTTATGCGTTATCGACTTGGAAAACTTAGGCTGAACCCCCCCCCCCCCCCCCCCCCCCCCCGAAAAAATCAAGTCCCCCTCCTCCACACACCCCCCCCCCCTCCTCGGAGAAAAAAGTGTGGAAGATACACTGAAAGCTAGAGCTAGATTGCTAACCCGAAAGTCTTGAGATCGAATCGTGGTTCAATAGACTATGCACAGCCCCCTTTTTCTTTCTCCAACATAAGTCGGGCATCCATTGAGATGAGTGGACCCAGGGAGGTCTTACAATCGCAAACCATAACCGAGATTTCAACTCGAGACCTTCGGGTTAACAGCCAAACGCTCTATCACTCGACAATACCATCCCTTGCTTGACATGTATAAGTATAACAGAAACGAAAGTATTTATTTCCCAAACGATTTATCTCGAACGTATCCATCTCTTCCACAGTTTCAGCATTTACGAGTTCCAAACACAGACATCTACAGACTTCTCCTCCTGGCTGAGACTCTCCAGAACAACCACCAGAACAGGTACCAGCCCAGTGGCATCAAGCGTACCGGCTACTCCCTCCACAAGCTCCCCAGCACACGAGACAGCGCTGAAGGTCCAGAAGACCCCCTGGCGGACGTCAGCGTCAACCCTCTGTGGTACATGCGCTACGCCTACAAAACACCGTGGCGTGGCTCGTACGACAGCGTGTACGACGACGACGACGACGACACTGGGATGGGGAAGAGATTCTTTGATTCTTTAGGTGGATATGAAGTTCACGGGTTCAAAAAGCGGAGCACGGATAATGTGTTAGATAAAAGCAACGATATGCTGCATCCTGAAGGTTCGGCTGGTTCGAGGACAAAAAGATCTAGTGTTGACGTAGATGCAAAAAGTGAGATGCAAGATCTTGATTCTATGAATCGACAAAAACGACAGCTTGACAGTTTATGGGATTTCCACGTTCATAGGTGGAAAAGGGACGGAGAAAAGAGAAACCTTGATTCCTTGGGGGATTTCCAAGTTCATGGTTGGAAAAGGGACGGAGAAAAACGTAATTTAGATTCCTTAGGCGATTTCCAAGTTCATGGTTGGAAAAGGGACGGAGAAAAACGTAATTTAGATTCCTTAGGCGATTTCCAAGTTCATGGTTGGAAAAGGGACGGAGAAAAGCGTAATTTAGATTCCTTGGGGGATTTTCAAGTTCATGGGTGGAAAAGGGACGGAGAAAAGAGAAACCTTGATTCCTTAGGGGATTTCCAAGTTCATGGGTGGAAGAGGGACGGAGAGAAACGTAATTTAGATTCCTTAGGGGATTTCCAAGTTCATGGGTGGAAAAGGGACGGAGAAAAGAGAAACCTTGATTCCTTAGGGGATTTCCAAGTTCATGGGTGGAAGAGGGACGGTGAGAAACGTAATTTAGATTCCTTAGGGGATTTCCAAGTTCACGGGTGGAAAAGGGACGGAGAGAAACGTAATTTAGATTCTTTGGGGGATTTCCAAGTTCATGGGTGGAAAAGGGACGGAGAAAAGAGAAACCTTGACTCCTTGGGGGATTTCCAAGTTCATGGTTGGAAAAGAGACGAGGGCAATCGAACAAAAAGAAATACTGATAGTTTATCAGAGTCCCAGGTACATCGGTCGAAAAGGGATGCAAGCAAACGAAACTTGGATTCGTTGGGGGATTTCCAAGTTCATGGGTGGAAAAGGGACGGAGAGAAACGTAATTTAGATTCCTTAGGGGATTTCCAAGTTCATGGTTGGAAAAGGGACGGAGAGAAACGTAATTTAGATTCCTTGGGGGATTTTCAAGTTCATGGGTGGAAAAGGGACGGAGAAAAGAGAAACCTTGATTCCTTGGGGGATTTCCAAGTTCATGGTTGGAAAAGGGACGGAGAGAAACGCAATTTAGATTCCTTAGGGGATTTCCAAGTTCATGGTTGGAAAAGGGACGGAGAGAAACGTAATTTAGATTCCTTGGGGGATTTTCAAGTTCATGGGTGGAAAAGGGACGAAGAAAAGAGAAACCTTGATTCCTTAGGGGATTTTCAAGTTCATGGTTGGAAAAGGGACGGAGAGAAACGTAATTTAGATTCATTGGGAGATTTCCAAGTTCATGGTTGGAAAAGGGACGGAGAGAAACGCAATTTAGATTCCTTGGGAGATTTCCAAGTTCATGGGTGGAAAAGGGACGGAGAGAAACGTAATTTAGATTCATTGGGAGATTTCCAAGTTCATGGGTGGAAAAGGGACGGAGAGAAACGCAATTTAGATTCCTTGGGAGATTTCCAAGTTCATGGATGGAAAAGGGACGAAGAAAAGAGAAACCTTGATTCCTTAGGGGATTTCCAAGTTCATGGGTGGAAAAGGGACGGAGAGAAACGTAATTTAGATTCCTTAGGGGATTTCCAAGTTCATGGGTGGAAGAGGGACGGAGAGAAACGTAATTTAGATTCCTTAGGGGATTTCCAAGTTCATGGGTGGAAGAGGGACGAGGTTACCAGCAAATCACCAAATAAAACTAGTTGATTGGGCTTCATGTCTTAAAATAATAATCTGTACAAACTGTTATTTAAGGACTACAACATACGAGCAACAAAAATTTTAAAATAAGTTATTATGTAAATCTCTATTTACTTCACTTTGTAGGTCCTCTAAACTGTTATTGAAGATTGTGATGATTTTAAAAGGTTAAGTACCTGTAAAACAAAATTATAGTGCACCAATATAATTTTGTTTATGTTATTCAGATTTGACAATAAAATTTTCGAATTTAAAGATTTCCATTTACCTTCCTTTTTCTTTTATTGTTGTGACTATCTTTTAAAGGTCTTGACGATATAATTAATTTTTGTACTGACTTTTAACAATCATCTTTTTTTTTTAATTCTGCTAATTAGTTGCATGTTACAAGACATTTTTTTCCAAAGACATGGAAAAAGTTGTAAAGTGTTATGTCATTGATTTCTTTTTTTTTAAACTTTACATTTTTAGTGGCAACAGGAAATTTTCTACTCGTTTCTATTTTGGTGTTGGGGTGAGAAATGAATTATCAGGTTGTGTATATACCAGGTTCTTTGTATATATCTATTGCTTTGTATAATTCACATATACCATCGAACTTCTCCTTTACCTCCCCGACCTGTCCACATAAAAAAAAAAATTAAAATTAACCCAACTAGTTTATTTTAACTACGTTTTTAATTGATAACTCACAAAAGCTGCAAATTAAAAATACAAAAAATAAATAAATGTGATTTTAGGTGTGTGGCTTAGGTGTATGAGCAACTAACAAACATTTACCAGGGATATGCTAGTAATTAGTCAATAGAAACAAAATAAAAAAGTATAAAAGATGTTTTTGCTACAAGGTTTATTTAGGAATTGCTTGCAGTAAGTATTTAATTTTTTTTTTTAATGCAATGAAAGTAGATTATCTTTCCCTAGTAATGTGCCCATTTCTAAGATGGCCCACAGCTAGATCTAAGTGGGTAAAAATGGCTTAAGCAATGATAAGCAGAGATGTATATGGCCCACAGGTCAATGGAGGCCTGTATGGGATGGCCTAACACAGAAGTCAATGGAGGCCTGTATGGGATGGCCTAACACAGAAGTCAATGGAGGCCTGTATGGGATGGCCTAACACAGAAGTCAATGGAGGTCTATATGGGATGGCCTAACACAGAAGTCAATGGAGGTCTATATGGGATGGCCTAACACAGAAGTCAATGGAGGCCTGTATGGGATGGCCTAACACAGAAGTCAATGGAGGCCTGTATGGGATGGCCTAACACAGAAGTCAATGGAGGTCTATATGGCCCAGAACACAGGACTACATAGGATATTTTTGTTCTGTGTTGATAGGTCACATCATTGGAGTAAGTGAAGAAAACATGTAAGAAAATATGTAACTGATTTGAGCTTCAATTTAATCTTTTTTTTTAGTAATATAAAATATTAATATTCAACAAAAACCTTACACACCAGATTAATGAGTATTTCTTTATTCCACACAGAGAATTACATGAACACAAATTGCAAAACATGTCATAACAGATTATAAATCTCTTAACAAAGCAATGGAAATGTTAAGAGTAAAAATCCTGAGCATTGTTCAATCAAAACATTTAATGTTATAACATCATTATGTAGAAAAAAAACATGTATAAAAATCGTAAGATCAAAATTCCAGGTATATTTACATAATAATCCACAAAACCAGTGCACAAAAAGAAAGATGAAACTTAAAGGTGAATGAAATTAAGAGGGGGAGTTAAATGATTTTTATTTTAAAAAAAGAAATGTAACAATGAGAGAAAAAAAGTAGTTGTGAGTTAAATCCCTTACAGGTTTGATTTAGTATAGGTAGAATATTTTGAGCTTTCTGTAGTAGTATAAGGCGGCAAAACCTTTTGATAATTGGTTACACCAAGTCAGAGCATGAAATATTCAAATAATATATTGGTAATCAATTGTCACAGTACTTCCAGCACACAACCATAATACACTGGACTCTGTAATGTATGTAGGATTTATTATATTCAACAAAGGTATTTATATTTGTATACATATACAAAACCTTTTGATAATTGGTTAGACCAAGTCAGAGCATGAAATATTCAAATAATATATTTATATGCAATTGTCACAGTACTTCCAGCACACAACCATAATACACTGGACTCTGTAATGCATGTAGGATTTATTATATTCAACAAAGGTATTTATATTTGTATACATATACATATATATTTTTATATATGTAGCTATTTTATGAAGCATAGTAATTTTGTTGACTTCCAAAATTTTGAAAGTGAAAGCAATAAAAAAGACACAAATGTGCCAAACCATAAAGCTGTAAGTTGAGATAACTGTCATGGTGGGTCAAAAAGGGGAGCGGAATATTTTTACCCCTTCCCCCTTCAAAACTACCTTTCTACACCACTGAATAGAAGTTCTGTTCCTCCAGTCTAGTCCTACCTACACACTCTACCAGTTCCAGATAAGTTTACCATCTGGTTCTACCTTCTACCTCTACCAGTTCCAGATAAGTTTACCATCTGCTCCTATCTTCACCCTCTCACTTGCCACCATCTCTAAAGCTTTAGGATAAGCCACATGCTCCACTTTCTTGACCCGCTCTGCCAAGGTCTCAGTAGTGTCCCCTGGATAGACAGAAACACTATTCTGGGTGATGATGGCGCCACCATCTACTTCTTCCTGCCAGCCAACATGTAAAAATTACATTATCATCAACATATAAATAAACAAAAATGACAGAGACAGCAAAAAAATTTAATCTGTACTAAAAAAAGGCAGGTAAAACAAAATTATAAAATTTTTATATAATATTAAGATCAGTTTCAATGATTAATTTTTTTTAAAATAATCGATAATAATTAATAAAGTAAAAAAAAATTTAAACCTATTTTACATCAAGGTAACTCTCACATTGAGAATGACAAAGGAGATAGGGTCTCAAGACTTGTTTTACTAACTGAATGAGCATTAAGAATTCACAAAGTAAAATGTTTTTTTAAATCCTCGTCTTACACCATTATTTGCATTGATCATAAAGATGATGTGGTCAGATGGTACAGCATCCAACCACTAATTCAAACAATCTCAAGTTCTGATCCCAGTCTAGAGTGTGTCATTTCTGATTCGACTCTTCTTTGATGGGTGCTTGACTCATGCAAGGGAAACCAAGGTGTCTAGGCACTAATGGGATGATTTTTATTAATCATTCTTTTAATCTTCTGCTAGGTCTCCACAAAAATTTGCCTCCTAGTAACTAAGCTAAAGCTCTTTAAAATTTACAAGTACTAATTTATTGTTAATCTTCAAAGAGGATATTTCAAACAATTAAATTATCAAACAGGATGTGCAACTTACAGTAACAAAATGTACTGTACAGCCTGAGACCTGAACCCCAGCATCTAAAGCCAGCTGGTGGGCGTGTGCACCCTTGAAGGAGGGAAGCAGTGATGGGTGGATGTTCAACATTCTGCCTGTCCATTTGTTGACAAACTCTCCTGAAGTAGATAGCAGTCTCATGTTAGGGGGGTTAATTAAAATATAGGGTTAATGTTTTTTTTTAAGAGTTGAATGGTGTAAGAGGATAAATAGTGCTGCCCACCAGTGTTCCCTCTAAGCTGCGAGGTTGCGCAGTAGTTATGAGCTGCCGCGCGATGATTTTGTAAACTAAATATATCCTTGTAAAAGACTTTTAAGAACACCGCACACAGAAAATACACGTTGCACACTAGCTTTTTCCCCTTAGAGGGAATATTGCTGCCCACATCGTTATTCATACAAAGGTAACATAAGATAAAAATTTCATCAGCTCCATTTCAGTTTTTACTCTCAGAAATTGGTGACCAACCCAATATCTGTCTATGCTAACTAATACAGAGTGACAGTTTTATAGATTTGATTGGTGAAGTGTGAAATCTACCCTTGAGTTAAAAACTAAAATGGCAGGCAATGGCCGAGTACTGACTGCTGAAATGTGACTGACCTGTTAGTATTCTCATAAAGCCAGCCAAACAGACCAGGTCAATCTGGTGTTGGACAAGCTGCTCATGGACAGCTGCATCAAACTCATTCCTGGACTTGTAGCTTTTGTGGTCAATCACCTGGAGACACAGAGTTTTACACCTTGGGTCTTACCACTATTTTCATTTAAAATAGAGGAATAAACTCTTTGAAAAGTCTATCAAAGTTTTCAAAATACTTTATAAATGCAACTCCACATGCACATTAAAACAACCTTTTTTTAAAATACTTTTACAATTGTAGTATACATTTAAACAACAGGTAATCGCATATATAACTATACTTTTCAAATACAAAACAACTATATTAAAATTAGAATAAATCATTCATCTGGGAATCTGATAATTTTTCCTAAAAAAACTGCAGTGGTTTCCTCAACATATGAGTTCCCCGACGTACAAGATTTTTCTGTTGAGCAGGCTAAAATTTGCTTTGACATACAAAAAAAGTTTGAGATGAGTAACCTTATTAGAAAGAAACACCCAAAAAGTTCCAACTGATTGTGCAACAGAGCTATTTAATGACACTTAATTTATTTCTGAAAGATTGTGAAGGGAGGAAAAAAACAAACCTACTTGCTCAGGTTTATTTTGACATCATGGATAGAAAAGTGATGAAAGTTAGGGCGAAAAAAAAAAAAACCAGCTAAGTGAAAATTGTGACAAAAATTAAGCAAAAGTAAATTACACTGGACAAAGTTTAAATTGTTTCTCATGAATAAATACATTTTATGCTCAAAATACGTATAAAAACAACTTAGGGCTGGAACTGATTAAAGGTATTTCTTTTAAATTAAATTGAGATTATTGCTTTAACATACAAGAAATTAGCCATACAAGCAATGTTACGGAACAAATTAAACTCACATCTTGAGGTACTACAGTAGTAACAAATATTATTGTAATGTAGTAAAAAAAAATTATTTACTATCCTGTTAAACTTAACATATTTTCACATTTGTGCCCAAAACACATGGAGTGTATGAAGGATAGTGTAGTCAACACTAACATGAGTCAGGTAACCATCAGAGTTGGGTAGTATCTGAGATGTTCTACAGACTCAAGCCCAGGACCCATCGTTGAACTTACCAGAGTTTTAATGCCAGCCCTCTCTGCTCTTTTTAAACCAAACACGTCGGCCACATTGGAAATAACAAGAGCGATTTCTGCACAGGAGTTACGGGACTTTGTATGGTCAATCAAAGCTTGAAGATTGGTACCTACATTGGGAGAGTCAGCACTTAAAGGAACTTCAAAATATAAATACTAACATTTCTAGTTTTTATAACTCATAAAAAATTAAGAGGAAAGTAAAATAAAGGGTGTAGAAGAAAGACTGAAAGCTAACCTGATCCAGATATTAAAACTCCAACTTTCTTTTTCATAGCAGGCAATGAAGGTCTTGGCCAGCTTTTGAGCAATGCACTGTTTAAGTTATCAATAACTATGTAATCAATAACACCTTCTGCAATTGATATCAAAATAACGTTTCTCAGTACAAGCAAGACATTAGTTTAAATATATAATGTGCTGATCAACATTAAATTTTATTTAGAACTATGTTACAGAATAGTGCTCCTACTGAATAACAGGTTCATGATATAATCTAGCTAAATTGGTACCTATACAAGGAGGGAATCTGTTGGTAAAACAACAGTATGACAGGTGTCATGGTGGACTTAACGAGCAGATAAAGTCTTTTCTTCCTTCTAAATGTAATGTTGAAAGAAATTTCCTCCAACACAATTAAATATTAAATGTTATGCACCACATGGACTGTTGACTCAGATTTCCACCTGCTTTTCTTTCTGGATAAGCTTCCATTGTCCATTCAAGATCTAAAACTCTAAGGCAGATGTTTGATTCTGGAGTTTTCTCTCCTACAAGGGTTGATGTACCCAGCTATCCAGCTGAGAGTTCAAACTTGGGATTTTTCAGTTTACCAGCCCAAATACACTGACATAGTTAAACACTGGATCTTATGTAGACTGTATTTTTACTTCCAGCCTATACATCTACTGGTGTTGCCCGATTTACATTCTAACAGGCTAAAATCACCCACCCCAAAGCTTAACAACTCCAAATTTATAAATTTGACTTTTTAATACAAACAGATTAAGCTCCATTTCTAGTGTTTGCTTATGTAGATGTGTTTTTAATGACCCACCTGGAGCTGGAACTAACGAACCAATAACACTATGCCTGGTTTGATTCTTAGTTAAAACAGACAAGATTTCGTCCACGTTGTCTTTGTCGACAATCAGCACAGCCCCAAGGCCACAGTTAAATGTCATGGACATGTCATGTTCAGAAACATTACCCTAAGATATATATTAAAACACCACCTGTCAGCCATTGTGAAGGAGTTAAGCTTTAACTTTTGACAAGAACATAATGAGAACTTTACCCTAAGATATATTTTAAACAGCAAATGAGCCGTGGAAAATGATTTAAGTTTACACAAAAACATGTCATAGATAAAGATAAGAGTACTGTAAAGGGAAGAAGACTTAGACTACCTGTGACTAAATTAATTTTTATGTAACCTGTAATTATTGTTTTGAATTCTATACATCGAAAGTTATCAAGTAGTTAACATGTCTATTGAGGACAAAAGAAAGGATCCTTGGTACATTCCAGGTAAGCCAAAGAGATGACAAATGTAAGGTTTGAGTAAGGACTTAGTTGATGACAGGTGAACGTTAGAATTGTTAATTAAGGTTGTTTTTTTTTTTTTTTGTTTTTTTTTTAAATTACATTAAAAATAACTGAAATTCAAAAAACTAAAATTATTTAAATTATATAAAAAAGATAATTAAGTATGGACAGATAAAATAAAAAAAAGCTGAACCTCACCATGAACTGTAGCCAGCCAAAGACTGGTGGTATGTGCCATAGGTTGGCATCAAGTTTAACGCCCAGATTAAAAGGCTTTACTCTGACAATGTTGAATTTTAGACCACCCCCTGTGATGTGAGCAAACGACTTTATCTTTTTAGACTGTAGCAAAGGCAGGACAGATTTCACATATATTTCTGTTGGTGTTAACAGCTGCTCACCTACATTTGTTTGATGAAAAGTAAATTATTTGGTGAAAAGTAAATTATTTGGTGAAAAGGAAATTATTTGGTGAAAAGTAAATTATTGGGTGAAAAGTAAATTATTTGGTGAAAAGGAAATTATTTGGTGAAAAGTAAATTATTTGGTGAAAAGTAAATTATTTGGTGAAAAGGAAATTATTTGGTGAAAAGGAAATTATTTGGTGAAAAGGAAATTATTGGGTGAAAAGTAAATTATTGGGTGAAAAGTAAATTATTTGGTGAAAAGTACATTATTTGGTGAAAAGTAAATTATTTGGTGAAAAGTAAATTATTTGGTGAAAAGTAAATTATTTGGTGAAAAGTAAATTATTTGGTGAAAAGTAAATTATTTGGTGAAAAGGAAATTATTTGGTGAAAAGTAAATTATTTGGTGAAAAGGAAATTATTTGGTGAAAAGTAAATTATTTGGTGAAAAGTAAATTATTTGGTGAAAAGGAAATTATTTGGTGAAAAGGAAATTATTTGGTGAAAAGGAAATTATTTGGTGAAAAGTAAATTATTGGGTGAAAAGTAAATTATTTGGTGAAAAGTACATTATTTGGTGAAAAGTAAATTATTTGAGGAAAAGTAAATTATTTGGTGAAAAGTAAATTATTTGGTGAAAAGTAAATTATTTGGTGAAAAGTAAATTATTTGGTGAAAAGTAAATTATTTGGTGAAAAGGAAATTATTTGGTGAAAAGTAAATTATTGGGTGAAAAGTAAATTATTTGGTGAAAAGTACATTATTTGGTGAAAAGTAAATTATTTGGTGAAAAGTAAATTAAAGGGTGAAAAGTAAATTATTTGGTGAAAAGGAAATTATTTGGTGAAAAGTAAATTATTGGGTGAAAAGTAAATTATGGAAAATAAACAAGTGTGTGAATTATATACTTTTAAAATTCAAAGTCTGACGGTTTCAAAAATATATCTTTTATATTAATAATTTCATTAACAACATAATAATCAGCTAGAATAAAAAAATACTGTTTGATAAAACACTACAAAATAATGGCACTGACATTGCAAAAATGTTAAATGATAAAATAACTAAACCTAAAAAACTTGCCCAAAACAAGCCAAAAAGACAACCATATACGTTAAAGTAAAACTGTAAAGTAAGTCAAGTTCGCTTTTGAACGAGGGCGCACGGGGAAGGTGAAGTAGATTTAACCTGTTTCTGAGACCTCTGCATGTAAAGGGATAGTGTAGTCAGCACTGTGCCCAGCTGTCTTTGCTTTCCCTGATGTAAGTCAGGTACCCATTGAAGTTGGGAGGATTTGGGGATGTGCTATATGACTCTAGCCAGGAACCCTAACTCAAAATTTCCAGGTTAGCAGTTGAACCATAAATGTTGTATTTTTTGTTTCATAAACAGTGATTTCCGTGTTTTACTTTACATTTTTGTCAACATGTTTTTTTAAATGTACTATAACACTTGCAAAACCATTAATAAAACTTTCAAATATTGTATTTACCAAGAGTCACATTTTTTTCATATGGGCACGGCATGTCATAGCTCAGCTCGTTAACTTTGACAATCTTCCTCACCAAGCTGAAGCCATTGCTGTGGACTCCACTAGATGCCAGGCCAATGACCACGTCACCAGCTTTAATAAGGTCCAGTGCGGGCAAAATCTGGGGTTTATTAATAGCTCCAACACAAAACCCAGCAAGATCGTACACTTTGCTCTTATATATAGAAGGCAGGTAGGAAATGTGTTCTTCTGGAAAACAGTTTAAAAATAAAATGGATCAGGTAAAGTATTTTCAAACAGTAAATTATTAAAAAGTAAAGAACTTCAATGGAAACAACATAATAACAAATAGTTATTTTTTAAATGATGGTATTGTATGCTAACAATTTTTTTTAGAAATGTGTTGTCACAACTGGGAATTGAGTTGACCGTGCAATTTGTTTCCTACGTTTTTTTTTCTCCAAAAGATTTTTAACTACTGTATTTATGTTTATCAAACCTGGGAAGGATACTTGCCATTTTTAAGTTATGTCTATATAAAAACCGATTTACCGCTAAAGGCACAACCAGCAATCTGACACCCTTGAGCCACACTTTTCAATACAGCCTCCGTATGCTCGTCATCTGGCTGTTTTGCGCCAAGGTAACAGGTGAAAAACAGTGGCTCTGCCCCACAGGCCAGTACATCATTCACACACATGGCCACTAGATCAATCCCGATTGTTGAATGGTTATTCATAGCCATGGCAATCTACAATTTCAAAATATATTAGTTAAATAAGTAAGTTATTTTTTTTTTACTTCAATGAAGCTAAACAAATAGAAGGTTGTTTAATTCATTAAAAATAATGACCTTCAATTTTGTGCCGACACCATCTGCTCCGGATACAAGAACAGGATCTTCTAATTTTAAACTGCTCATATCAAATGTTGAAGGGAGGCCATCTTTGTTCAACACACTTCCAGATTTCTTGGCAAGTTCCAATATGGAGGAAAAATCTGACTTCAAAGGTAGTTTGACGCCTAACTGTTTTCCTTTATAAAATAGAACAAAATAAACATCATTATTGAATTTTTAATTATTATAATTATCATAAAATATTTGTTCTAGACTAAGCATTAAAAAACTCTTTACCAAAATTTTCAGGAGCATGTTGATATGCCACGGCCTTGGCTTTCTCTAATGATGACTGGAGGTTGTCAATTCTTACTTGATCTTCACCTTAAACAAAATAAAAAATATGGTATGGTTGTCAATTCTTACTTGATCTTCACCTTAAACAAAATAAAAAATATGGTATTTAAACTCAAAACATTTTAATTTAAGTTAGCTTTAAGCATCTATGTAAAAATATTAAATGTTCAAATAATTAATAACATTCAATGAAAAATCCACCTGTAGATTTTATTATATGTCCCATCACTGTGACATCCTCTTTAACAATCCGTAATAAATTCTGCATGACAAAACTGGCATCGTCACGGCTGACGACCAGTATAGCAGACACACCACAACTTGAGACACAGGAAAACTCTTCAGCTGACAGCTTAGACTAGAAAATAATTTAAGTAATATTTTTAATTAACCTACAAGTCTATTTAAAGAATTGGAGGCAGTTATAACAATTTTTTTCAGTCTGGTTTAAGTGGCCTATTAGGTACTTGATGGTTTGTGAAACAGAAGATGGGAGCAATTTCTTTTACCACAAAAGATGAATAATTTTAGACCAGTAGAATGTCTTACTACCTTTATTTTATTAAAATTCTATCCAATGGGCGTTGAGGATGATTCAAGACTGGCACACCAAGCATCACCACAACCTCACCATCATGGTCTTACTTCTAAATAGTTACACGTACTCACCATGTAAGCCATCCATCCGAAGACTGGTCCAACCTGCCAGCTCAAAGAATTCACCAGGACACTAATGCCACTGTGAATAACTCGAGTCAAACATGTTTTCAGTCCATCGTTAACATTCAGAAATATTTTGACCTTCCCGGAATAGATGAGTTGTAAAATATTTCTCCCATAAATACTTGAAGGGACAAGGATTTCTTCACCTGAAATTTTGTTTAATTGTCCAAGCTAAAGAAACTCAAGTCAAAAAAAAAAAAACCAAATTGCTATATAAGGGTAATCATTTTGAAATTTAAAATAAAAACTGAAAATGTAAGTTCCTGTAGATTCTCAGTTAATAAAATATCACCTAAAATTTAAATAGAAAAAAGTAAAAATATTTTAAAGAAAGAACCTTCAAGTGAAAATAATAACATCTGAACTTTTTCTCAGATGGACTGTCTTCAATGTAGGAACTACTTAATTACTGGCCATACCAGGGGTTTAGGGTTAGACAAGCAATACAGTGTGAAGGTGATCTAACCATTGAACACTTTGGTGGTCTTAAGTTTTAACTGATGCTAGAAACAGTGACTGGACCAGTCACACTACCTCATCAATTACCATGCTGTCACTTCATTACACTAGAGATCCCCCAGATTCCAAAATAATACTTTATAACATGTTTACAAAAGAACTGTAATGATTTACATTGTTTTACTCAAATTAATTACAACAAATTACCTAATGTCATTCCTCCATTAACGCCGTTCATTTTATCCAACTTAAACTTATTTGCATTTAAAATTTGCTCCACCAAAACAAAATCTTCTTGTTGGAGTCTATTTGATGTCAAACCAATCACAATGTCGTCACACGCTGCGCTGTTTAAGCCCTGGTTAGTGTAGGTTGGTGGGATGGCACCAACAACAAAGCCAACGGCGTCGTAGTCCTCACCCTTGTACATGTTTGGCATCTCCGCTGTCTCTCCCCCTGTAGAAAGACATGGTGGGCGTGTACCATAGACAAGCCAGAGTTTAAGAATGACAAGACTAAAACTAACGACAACTAAAGTGTCAAATCACAACTATCATTCGTACAACTTAAGAAATTTCAATAAAACTACCGACAACTAAAGTGTCAAATCACAACTATCGTTCGTACAACTTAAGAAATTTCAATACCCATTAGCCCACATCCTGCCTGCACACAGGCCTCTGATACTCCTCGAATAAATTCTACAGCTGTTGGCACAATTAATTTTCCAGTAGCAAAGTAATCCAAGAAGTATAAAGCCTCAGCTCCAACAGAGATCAAGTCATTGACACATTGAGCAACAAGATCAAAACCAATGTTGTAGTGATTGTTTTGACTTTCAGCAAACTATAGCAAATTATAAAATCAGAAGTTATCTGCATAAGTGTTTCAAAATGAAATTTAAAGTTAAATCCAGCTTTAGGGACTATTTTATTTCACACAAACAAAATCACATATATTAGACCGAACTAACAGATACCTAATCAGCCTCACAACAATAAAAGAGTTGTGAATCTAAGTTCCCACAAAAATCAAAGAGATACCTGATGGACCTCAAGTCTTAGGGCAACAGTACCCACTCTTACTATCAAAGACAAAAAATCAGAGTGCTACCTTAATCTTAGCTCCTACTCCAGAAGTCCTAAAAGCCAGCACAGGGTTTTGAAAACCTGCAGCCTTAAGTTCAAACATTCCACCAAAACCTCCCAAATCTGATTCGCACCCAAGACGTCTGGTCATTTTGGCTAGAGGTTTGATGAGATTGACCAGGTAATCCCCAGCTTCAATATCTACTCCTGCATCTTTGTATTGCAAACCACACCTTTCCTCACTGGCATCAAATCTGAAAGTATTGACAAAGAATTGTTCCAGCAGGGATATTAGACTACAGCCATCTCACTTCATACAGGGGAAAAATGGAACAATATCTTTAACATGCAGTAATTAATCTCTTTGAGGTATAAGCTCAAGCCTTGGTCTTATTAAGTATGTAAGACAAATACAGACAGTGAGCTAAAAAATGTAGTCTATTATATTGTATCAATGTTTTTCTCATTAACAAATAACTCAGAGGTCGTTGTTTGGCATTTTTTACATTTTGTTTTGGCATACTGATTTATATTAGTGTTCTTTAGAATATGCAGGAGTGTTTCTTGTATCAGATCATCAAAAAACTGTTAAAAATTAAAATATGGAGATCAGCTTAAACAAAGTCAACAAAACAATAAAATTTGCTGCAACTCATCACCGTTTAAAACACTTCATCCCAATGTCTTTCCTAAAGAATGCGCCTTCAAACTGAATCCGAGCAGCCCCTTCAGTGGCCCTCTGTATCGCTGTGGCAGGGGAGACTGAAGTGGCTACAACAGCCAGCACCCTGCCACCACTGGTTACAACCTGCCCTGTAGCGTCCAGCTGTGTCCCAGCATGAAAGACATTCAATGTGTTCTTCTCAACTTCTGAGATGCCTGTTGATAAAGTAAACTTAAAGTTTAAACACTGACAACATCTGCAATAATGTTGATAATTCAAAATTTAAAAACTTATACAATTCTTTTAGGCCATCATGTGAAAGTGGAAGGCGAGGTAAAGCATATGACTGCTAACACCAAAATCTCAAGTTCAAATCGCAGGTTTGTTTCAGTAGAACATTCACCTAACTCTTGTTGGTACCTGACTTGCCTTAGGGAAAACTAAAGGCGTTTGGGCATAGTGCTAACCACACAAACCCTTCATATGCTGAGGTCACTGAAACAGGTATACTCTAGTTCATCTGCTCCATGGACAGTCAGATTCACAAGGGTTTTTATCGAGCTGAGAAGTGTTCATACACCCATTTGAAAACAAATTAGTTTACTTTTAAAAAAAAAAAAATCAGGACATTTTAATGAGGTGAAATGTATCAACATGAGCTGTCGTGGGAGGGGTGGAGAGTTTGTTTATCAGAGTCAGGGTAGAAAAGCTACGAGTCTGTGGTAACAATGGAAGGTTCGGAGGAGCTAATGGCATGAGGTGGGAGCTTCAGATGGGGCTGGGGTATAACTGTATGTTTCCTGTCCACAGATGTTCTATATAATTTTTTAATAAAACAAGTACTTGATGAAAATTTATTTTTCTGGTTTTTTTTTAATTATACATGATAAGAAACAACACTTGCAGAGATCCATTAAACGTAATTCAGACTTTGAAGTTAACACCCAGCAATGAGGGGAGATCAGGGTAGTTGAATCCTATACGCTGACTAGGCCAGTAATACACACAGTGACATAAAAACTTACCAGAAATGGGTAGCCCCTTCTTGTAAGAGCCTGGGTATCCCCCACTGACCACTACCACACCAACGGCTGTCTGCGACACGTCAAATGTTGGCAGAGCTGATGGTAGATCTCCACTGACACAGGCTTTCAGTGTGGTGAAGAGGTCAGAGGTTAACAGGGAGAGAATTGACTGCAACAAATTAGAAATAACTATTATACAACTAATGAAGATGATTAAAAAGAAACAAAAAATTATTTCAATGAAACAATTTTAAAATTTTAAAAATCCCATGTGTCAATACCTATTTAAATTACATCTCTAAAAAATAAGAAAATCTAGATAGATATTTCGGTTGATTACAATTAAACTTCTACAAGTAACATACTTGGGTCTCTGGATCTCCAAACCTACAGTTGAATTCTAGCACCTTTGGTCCATCTTTTGTTAACATAATTCCAGCGTAGAGAACCCCTGACAAAACATGTAAATTATCATACATGATACAACTGAAAACAAACAAAGAGTTATACAACTTTTTAAAAATGAAATTCAAGATTTTTTCTAGATATTTTTTAAAAATACCAGACTTTCTACAGACGATGTTTCAGAGACTAATTTATAAAATGATGCTCTATTATTTTAGCCAAAAATAAACATTCTGCAGGCTGTAGACACATCATTATTTATGCTTATAGCTGAGAAACTTTTGTCTGTTATTAAAAATACTGGTATATCCCCCCCCCCCCCCTACCCAAAAAAGACAGGTGGTAGGCGTGACGTTTGGTACCAAGCAGTACTAAACAGTACTCATAATCACGATGAGTTCACATAAGTTTAGAAATCAATGGCTGTTAATACAAGGAAGGGCAGGTTAGTTTCCTCCTAAACGTCAGTATTTGAACAGAGGTTTAAGAAGTAAATATAAAGTAGCAGGAAATTGTAGAGGCAGAAGCTAACAAATTAAAAACTGAGGTAGAATCTAGATCAATTATAGACCCTCAGTCACACACCTCCCCATAATTGTTTTTTATGACTGCCTGCAACCTTAGACAATCTTAATGCAAAGTAGCTGGTACAAAATAAAAATTGTCCATGCATGATCACTCTTTCATTAAATATTAATTCAAAATAGCCCAAATATACCCCCTCCTCCCCAGGGAAAAAATTAGAGTAAATTCACCAAAGGAATACCCTTTTTGATCGTTGGAAAATATGAACTTCATGGAAAAGGTCTGTCCCTTATACTAAATTCTAGACTTTTAAATAATCCACCCCAAATACTAGTGATTTTCCATACTTAATAAAGTCTAAAATTCACTTCTCTCAATCCCAGATTGTGGTTTACACAACCCCACAAAAACATATGATACATCAATAGAGAAAGAGTATGATTACTATTAATGAGGCTAAAATTCTCTGAAAGAAATTTCAAAGTTTTTGAGTTCATACTTACCAATAAATTTTTTCCCTTCTGCAGCCAATCCTCTTACAGCTTTTTCCAAAACATTTGTTTTAATAAATTCAATCTCTAACTCAGACAGCTGTAAAAAAAACAATATTGTGAGAATAAATAAAATATTTTTAGTGTACTTGGCAAGACAACAAATACATTGTTTCTAAACTTTCTACTGGAACTGGATTTTCCAAGAACGGAAAACATAACTAAGATAAGCCTAAACATAATTGTGACAACTGTCACATTTAGCAATCACTAAAAACCAAACTAATACATTAAGGAACGTTGCACTACTGAAGCTGTAATTTTTTTACTTGAAACTAAACTTACTCCTGGATAAGGACATATTGCACCCATCCCTCCTGTATTGGGACCCTCATCGTTATCCAATAACCTTTTGTGGTCCTGTGCAGCTGGCATTAAAGAAACATTATGGCCATCACTAAATGCCAAGACCTGCCAGATAAAATAATTCTATCAATTTTCGCAAAATAGCGTTAAACACTTTAAAAAGAACTACAGTAATAATACTATAATTAATATTAATATACTAATTAATATATAGAGACAGATACAATGTTTATGAAATATTAATTTTTTAGTACATTGTTTTTTTTGTGTTATATTATGAGTGAACTGATCAGATACTTGAGACTGAAATCAGATAACGCCTTAATGGCGCATAACAAGTTGTCATGAAATACTTAATTGTGTTGGAGGGAATATCATCCAACATAACAATTCAGAAGAAAGAAGATCTGATACTACACATTGGCTCAAACATTAGAGTTCAGTCAAAAAGGATGAGATAAAAATTTTTTACTGAGGCTTCTGGTCCTTGCAGCAACTCTTCAACAACAATGACATCTCCAGCAGCACCGTAGATTTTCTTTGTCATCATTTCAGTGACTGCGTCACAAGCCTCCTGCTTTGATGATGCTACAACCACACCTTTACCTGCTGCCAGTCCGCTGGCCTTCACTACCCTTGCATCAAAATCTGCACTATAATAAATAGAAAAATAAAGATCAACACAAATCTTAAAACAAGAAATTTTTTAAATTATGAAAGAGGACGGATACACAAAATGGCAAGATTCTTACTTTTTAATAAAACTTATGGCTTCTCCTGGATTTGTAAAACTTTTGAATTTTGCTGTGGGTATGTTATGACGTATCATAAAGTCTTTGGCAAATGCTTTGTCTGCCTCAATCTGGGCTGCTGCTGCAGTGGGGCCAAATGTTGGAATACCTGATAAAAACAGATTGTTTTTTAATGGAAAAGTTTATTAAACTATTTGTATATAAATTTTAAAAGTCTGACGAGGATTTGAATTTTGATCTTATAGTTCAACCAGTTTAACCCTAGTTAAGAAATATGAAAATAATAATGAACTCACAAACCATACAGAACCCAGTAAGTGTGTTTAATAGAGCATTAATTAACTTTTTATTAAAAGATGTTACGTAGATTTTACCTTCATTAGTCAAGAAATCTACAATCCCAGCAGCCAGTGGATCTTCTGGACCAACCATAACAAATGTTATGCCATGTAATTTGCACCAGCTTGCAACAGATTGGAAATCTAACAGATTCAATGCTGAAAAAGAGGTCAAAACTAATTAAGCTAAATTATTACAAAAACACCAAGATTAATAAAATTATTAATAAAGTTACTTCCCAATAAGTGATTGTCTCAGACAGATTCTGAAATTGAGGTGGCAGAACAAAGTGCCTAGTATAGCTATGGAAAAGGACAAGGCAAGAGCCCATGACAGTGCAAATGAGGAAGTAACGCTGGGTGCGACATATACTGCAAAAGGCCCACACTAAAGTGAAACAATAATCAATAAGCACTTGAATGGGAACCCCCAGGTAAAACAAAAGAAATGAAAACAGTAGGGATGTCTTGGGAGACTGGAAAATCAACAGTGGAAGAATAAAAGTAAGTCAAAGCCACTGAGTGATTAATATATTCAAATACTCCATAAATATTCATCTATTATTTTTACTTACAGACATTTGTTACTTTATCAGTATTTGCTGTTCCAGCATTACCAGGTGCAGCATATATCTTCTCAACGTCTGGTGACTTGGTCAACTTCCAGGCTTGTGCATGTTCCCTGCCACCACTGCCTATAAGGAGTATCTGCTCAGACATCTGTGTTTGTTTCTGAGTAAACAGTAAAGATGAAAACTAGAACAAATCAGACAAGAACTCATAATGAAATAACATTATTTATAAAGGGAGACCTTTAGCCTACAGGCCTTAATTCTTTTTCAAGTTAACCATCTAGGAACGTAGAAATATGCAAGAGCACAGAGTGACTGGTGCTGATAATAATAAACTTTTAAAAATTAGGCTTATTGGATTATGGAACTGGCTGCTCTCTTACCTAGTCTTCTAATCATTTACCCAATACCGTTTTTGGTATAATTCAATTTTAGTGTAATTACTAATTTATTCGCAGTTACAATTTCATCATCAATTGTGCTTAATCTATTAAAACATAACTGAAACACATTGTGTGTTCATTGCAAATAAACAGAAGTGTAGCCTTATACACAAAACAAAAATTATTTTCAATTCTCTGCATTTGCATCAATTCTTTAGGCTAGACACCACAGATAAAAAAAATATTTATTCAACATGTTGCTGGGTGTTTAATAAATCCACATGTTAATAGTTTTTTAAACTATAGACAAAAATAATATACAATCATCTAAAGTATTTCTAAAGCAGTTCTGGTTGCTGCAAAAACCATCTTTTATTTTTAATTTAGAACAATTAAAATCCTGCTACGATTTTAGTCGTAATAATTTCTACTAGGCCTAGATCAGGTCATCTTGATCGACTTGATTGTCACAAATCCTCCTCAATGTACAAGCTTTTAAAATATTTTATAGGCCTAGGCCTATGTGTTTGAAATTGATTGTTGTTAACTTTTTTGTAGATTATTACACGCGTTTCTTATTGAACTTACTACAAATTCCTAAAAACTAAAAAGATTCAGAGAAGCCTAGAAGTAGAAGAAGTGCTGAAGTCAAAAGTATTAAGTAAGTACTAAGTACTTACAGTACTAACTTAAGTAAGTAATTGTAAGTAGTAAGTAGGGTAAAATCACGATATAGCGTCGGTTATTATTCCGGAACTGTACAGCAGTAAAAAACAGTAAAACCATGGCATAGTCTGTCGAGCCGTTCCGGAAACCACCGGAAATACCGTAAACCATCATTTATTTGCCGCCATATTATTTTTAATACATAATGTTTAAAAATGTGCAAGGATTGATTTTAGTTGCATTTTAAATACTGTTTTGCTAATTATTTTGTATTTCTAATTATTTTAAGTGTATGTGCTAATTATTGCTGCTACTAAACATTATTCTAGTTATTCTTACTACTTTTAACTTTAGTTAATCTAATCGTCTTATTTACTAACAGAACTAGAGCTGGTTGTCGCAAATCTTCTGCAGGTTTTTTCTGTTTCTTAAAAAAAAAACAATTACTACACTCGAGTTTATTAATAATGTTTAGATTTTCTATCTGTAATTAATTTTCTGTCAATCAAACTGTAAATTAAGTTAAAACATTAATTTAATGCACTTGACTTTATTTTTATTTCACCGGTCAAATAAACTATGGTTTACAGTAACGAATGTTACCGAAACTCAACGAACATTACCCAATAATTTCCGACGCTATATCGTGATTTTACCGTAAGTAGACCCTAGTTTTCCTACTGTTTCTTCTAGACCTTCTAGATAGATACAGATAGGGTAGATACATTACTATGATTACTAGATCTACTAATAATTAATAATACTAGAACTAAGATCTAGAATCTAGATTCTAGATCAGTAAGATTAGATTTTAGATCTATGATTTGGTTGTGTTTTTTTAATAAAATACGTTGACTGTATGCTCTGTACTGTACTGTAGATGTGTGTAGATCTAGACTCTAGCTTTCTAGATCTAGATTCTGGAATCTAGTTAGTAGTTACTAAAGTAGCCGTGTGTGTGTGTAGTTGTGTAGGTGAACGTGAAGCTGCGAATAAATTTACGCATTTATTAGCGGCATTACGTCGCTAAATTATAAATTAAAAAAAAAAATTTAAAAATGCCTTGATTCAAATTAGGTGTAGAGATTAAAAAGAAGCTGAGTTTACTGACTAACACAAAACTGATAAGGTTAACAAACTAAACTTACAAACGCAAACAGCACTGTAGCTTTTGTAGAGACGTTCTAAGTTAGATTCTAAATGAACTTGTAATTGTTTACGATCTTGAGCACATGGAAAAGTGCTGAGTTTCCGTACGTCAAAAGCGTAGCTCTATTTAGTCAACTACTTTGAGGCTTAATGGTGGTTTTTATATGAATACTTGTACCTTCAATGATATAGAATATAGACTAATATATTTGTAAAGCCTAGCAGCTATTACATTTTGTCCTATTGATTTTTGTATTTTTCTCTTTAATTTTCAAAATTTTAAGCCTATAAGCCCAAAGTGCTTGATCGGTCAATATGATAAAAAGCAAATATCCTTCCCAAGAGCGTTACGCACTTTCAACAATTTAAATGTTCGAAAACTAGTCTAGCACTACAAAAATGTAGACTGTGGCTTAATAAAAAGAAAGTATATCTTAGAATTCATCTCAAGAAACAAATACAATATAGTACCATATTTTTCTTATTATAAGAGATTGCGCACATTTTATATAACACCTAATGTGGACATTCTAACAGACCCAGTATAACGTCATTTTCCTAGACCAATTACAATCACACCCGCATATTAGACAACTGGTCCCAAAAAATACGTTTTTTTTAAAGAATAAATTTTAATCTAATAAAAATTTTTTTTTAAAATAACTAAAATTATAGAGAAACTCGACCTTTACAACTTACTTAAAAGTATTATTGTATTACTATTATATTAAGAAATAATATGCACACCAGCTGTGCAAAAATAATTTTAATAAACCAAGGAATTTGTGGCTGGCTTAGAACATTGCCCAATAAATACAATAGGTAATGACGTCACTCTCCCATACCCTCTTTACTTGACATAAAAGAGTAAAGTACCTCTTCAAACATTTTGATCCATGGGGTAGGCGAAGTAGAGTTCACTTGTTTCAGTTACCTCGGCTAATTAAGGGATAGAGTACTCAGTACTATGCCCAGTCACCTTTACTTTCCATTTGAATCAGGTACCATAAAGAGCTGGGTGGACTCAGGGATGTCCTATGAAATTGAGCTCAGGATTCTATCTCAAGACTTAAGGGTTAGCATCCGAACACTACAATATTTACACTTAAAATATTTCTGTCATCAAACAATCAATTTTCTAAACCCAATGCAGCAAATTATTTCAATTTTACATTGTTCCATGAAGCTTATAGCATTACTGTCCATCAATGCTACATGTTTTTTGCTAAACTATTTTTTAATTCTATTTAACCTTTTTACAGTTTGAGCTCAAAATGCTTTAAATGCTATTTACTTAAAGAACCTAAAAGCTAAGAGTCATAAACATAAACGCAGAAAAAACTTTTGATAGTTAACTTCAAATAGACATGACTTTATTTACTGATAATTACTCACAATTCTCACAGAAAAATACAAAAATACATAAACTTCCATCAGGATATTATTAAACACGGCTGTCTATAAGCAATATTTATAATAAAACAAAATATATATTACATGTAACTACTTGAATATTTCAATAAAATCCATACATTTCTACAAACAATAAAGAAATATCCTACAGAGCTGCCTTTTGAAAAACTAATGACAATATTTCTCAACCGATAACAGGTTGCCTTAATAATGAAAACAATAATTATTTCATGATTAATTTGAACTTGTATATCTTTTCAACACATTTTTAAATGTAATTTAACCTAACATCATTTCTTTTTTAATTTTCTACAAAAAATAATTAAAAAAATTTGTTTTAATAAAAATAATTGTCAGATGTATTTATAAGGTGCCTAGTCTGTTGTAGCCTTTCTGTACCAGAACCTTGCTCGGAAGTCATCACTACAGGAAACAAAAGCAGGACCAGTGGGAGAGTGAGCTAAAAATCTGACAACGCCATTATGACCTAGATAAAAACAAGGTGCATTATAAATTAATAGTAGTCATTTCCTCAAGCATAAATAGCAAACTACATTAAACCTCATCATATACACAATATATACCTATAATTATAAAAAAGTTTAGTGACATTATAAATATAAGCTCTTGTTGGAATTATAATTTAATTTTTTTTAATGAACGCTTTTTATCACTAAGAAAGCTGTTCATTTTATAATTTTTTTAAATCCCTTACAAAATACATCCTAAGATTTCTAGTTTTTTCACAGACTGAATAAAATTTTTGGTTATTATTTTAATCCTGCTTAGTTATTTTAACTCGAAATCAAATAACTGAGCATATCATTAAAAAATTATACACAGAATAATGTACCTAGAGATAAAAGCCTTTGACGTTCAGCATTTCTTGAGTCCCAGCAACATAAACTTGTAGTTTTCTCGTCAGGGAAAAGCACTGAAATTAATTTAGATGAAGGAAAAATTATTAGAATACTCAGAGATAGTTATTTAGAAAGCACTGAAATTAATTTAGATGAAGGAAAAATTATTAGAATACTCAGAGATAGTTACTTAGAAAGAACGGAGAAGTGCAAAAAAGTTGTGAACAAACCATAATCTTCGGTATGATTGAAGCAAGCCACTGTGCCATGTTCCATCCCACCAGTTACACCTGCACCAGTGTAAACAATCAGGCACCTGTTGGTGGACAATTCCCACAGCTTTACAAGGCTGTCTTTTCCACTGGATAAAACATACTGAAATAAAAGGCAATCAAATACAGATCTTTATCAATGACAATGTAGTAAAGATGTTATCAAATCAATGCCAACAGAACGCGACCATAAGTAGAACTAACAGAACAACAGAATTAACAGATGTTGACAGGAAATTGTTTACAAAAATGTAATAAAAATCAATTCCCAAAATATAGTGAATTTTTATTTATGTATTCAGAGCTGTAACTTTATTTTTTTTTCTTCAAAGATTACCCTAAAATGGTTCAGCTGAAAAAAATGTCCTTTTATTAAGGTGTTCAGTTACATTACTGGTTGATACAATGCTTAACTCAGTAATTTTCTCAAAGGTTCTGAGTTTAAATACTAGTTATACTAGTTTCCTACCATGGACTAAGTTATTCAACTGGAACTAATAGAGACCTAGAATTAAGTTTGACACACATCTACTAGTAAAGAGATAATATTTATTTGTTAACTTTCTATACAGTACAGTAACTCTTGAATATATGTTTGCCAGAATGCAATAATAAAAAGTTATTTCTTAAAAATAATCAGTAACATAGGCTACAGGTACATCTTATAATCAGATTAAATTTTCTAGCGTTCACATTGTTGGAATGTAGGCTTATATCAGAAAACTAATTTATCCTTGTCAAATAATATTACCTTGGAGTTTCTGGTAAAATTAACAGAACAAACTTCTTTTCCGTCATGAGCTTTATGGAACGTGTTAATACACTTGTGACTGACACCGTCCCACACTTTGATTGTGCCATCAATAGAACTTGATACAAACATGTTTGCATTAGGGCTCCATTTCAGCTGAAGGAAAAAAAAATTTAAATTATTATTTGTAATTGTAACAATTTAATTGTCTAACATCATTATGTATTTTAAATTACATGCAAACATTTAAGTAAGAAAGTTCCCTTTAGGATCTGGAGGCCCTGAGGATCAGGTGAAGAAGAGTTCATCATGCGACCATGGATTAAGAGTAATTATAGTGAAACAACAATGTTGTAAAAAATAATAATCTGACAACCACTGAATGTGTTATATTAATAAGAAAAGTATCCCACTAGTTTCATCACTTACCCCTGTTATTCTACCACAATGCTGATCATGAGCATTACTTCCAACAAAACACTGAAATGTGTTGACATCATATAAACGAACTGGAAAGTTGATTTAAAAAAAGACTATTAAATATTACTAGAAAAATACTTTTTTTTTTAAATTAAATTTGTCGCTTTTTACAGTTTGTATTATTTTAAAATATGAATTTATACACTATTACATTCAGTTACATATTTCCTAAACTTATCATAGGTACTGTCTAGAACTTATATTGAAATATGTCAATAGAAATGTATGCTTATTATTACTGAAAATATAAATTTATAAAAAATATTAACAAAATTCTATGTTTATTAACTTGGATTTTTTAGATTTTATTTGAATTGAGATCAGTGTACAATTCTCCTAATGGCCAATAAATGGTAGTAAACCAGTACTACACAAAAAGCTAAACTCCCAAAGAAAATTTAGGTATACAAAAAACCTTACTAGTTGGGTGCCTTGTGCCAGCTAACAAGTATTCTCCACTGGGATGAAAGGATATCTGTGTTAGCTCTGAAGCTTCCTAGAAAAAATTTCAAGGGTGATAAATACTTGCTTTTTAAAATGCGAGTAGCAAATGCAATTCTAAAAAATAACTGATGACTGATTTTAAAAGTAAAAGATTAAATAAGCATGCAATTGTATTTATAAAAAAAAAAAAAAAAATGATTTTGCTTTCGTGACAAAGAACTTCAGCTTAATACTTTAATGTTAAAAAAGGTTTTATATTTGCTATATTTTAATAGAAACAAGTTAAGCCAGCTGACAACCACAAGGAAAAACTTAGAATGTAGCAATCATCAAGTCTACATGTTAAGTAAACAACTAAACAAAAAATTGCTATTTAAAAAACATAGTATATTTAAATAATGCAGAAAATCGAGAAAATGATTCTATTATCAAAGAAAAACTTACTCTTCTCATATTATCATACTAAAAATACCAGTAATATGATTAAAACACAAACCTGTATACTTTTGAAGGCTTTTTTGACAGATGGTTTAGAATATTCAAAAAAACGAATGCTGAAATCATCACTCCCTGAGGCAAGGATAGACTCAAATGGGTGGAAATCAAGACACGTCACCTCCTAGTACAGTATAACACAAAATTATAACTAACTTTTTTAAAATGATGTTGTTAAACAACCAACATAACATGCTATATAAATATATATAGTTTCTTAATTAAAGCCACTGAGTCAGTGATATGAAATACAAATGTGATGCATACGCCATTATGGTCGTATAATGTTCGAATGACTGGATGATTCTCCATCTGCTGTTGTGGTGTTTCTAATGCCATAACATCTGCTGGTGTTGCACTTTTTGATAACATTCTTTCTACATCAAGAACCTGCAATACATTAAATAACAGTAAATTAGCTAATGATTCATCATTCATTTACTGTGTGATTGTACATTGTATTCAAAATAGAAAGATGTTTTTAATAAAATGATACCTTAATTGAAGCATCTTGAGATCCAGTGGCTATAAGCTGACCTAGAAATGAGATGCAATTTTAGAGTTGAAATTAAGTTTTTTTATTGGAATATAACTACTTAAAACTGAGTTACTTAGTTAGTGGTAAAATTGAAGAAGTAAGTTACATATATTTAAAAAAAGATGGCATATTTTTAAGCTGATTTTGTATTATCTGGCTTTTTACGATACAAATGAATGCTAACAAAGCTGGCATTTTAAAAATTTCCGCTTATGTTTACCTTACCTCCACAATCATAAAGTAATCTATACCATACATTTTCTTAATTAGTCTTTTATTTCCTTTTGTCTTACCTAAAATATCAGTTGATGCATTTATTTAATAGCGATATTGATAGGAATTTTTAAAATTTAAAATTACTCCAAATGTGAAGAGGAAGGTAATAGAAATAAAATGTACAACTGCATACACCCTCTAAGAATGTAATGGAAACATTTTATTTTAAAAAAGAGTTATAATCGCAATAAATAGTCATAGAAGACTGAATTAAATCTACTTATACCTGTGTGGTGAAAGGCAGCACATCTACAAGGTCCCTTGTGAGCAGTCACATAACAGGTCTCATACAAAGCAACTTCAGGAGAAATTGTCTGCACTAAAGACCAAGTTTTGCATTTAAAGCACAGCCAAAATAAGCTTATTAAACCTAATTAAACTATAGTACTATAAAAGTTTACAAGTAGTCCAACAAGTATTTTATAATAAGGTGACAGAATTATAAGTGTACCTTCTGTTTCAAACTCTAAATCAATGCCAGCACCTGGTTGAATAATCTCTCCAACTAAATCTTCTTTCTCTTTGTTCTCTAAAATAGCAAGGGAAAAAAACAATAGAACAAATTACTATAAATTAGGCAAAATCTTATTTTTAAAAGTATGTTATTTTTAATAAATAATGTTTTAAATCTAGATACATAAAACATGTGAAACATCCCACTTGCAAATAAGGACTATAGAACTCCAACACTTTTAGCAATAATCTCTGTGGGAATAGTTAATCTTCAAATTTACATTTGGGAATTCAACATTTGAAAAAAAATTTTAAAACATGTTACCTTCATCATCATACTTTAATCCCAATTTTACAATTTTTAAAAGTCTGTCTGAAGGAGGACAGGCCGGGTGTGGTTGAATGATTGCAGCTAAGCCCACAGCAAGATCTTTGTACCCATCATAGAACAACTGACTATATAAAAAAAAGTAGAGCTCTTAAAAACTTGGTTAAGAATACAACATACATATTTTGAAGTTTCTAATTATTTCCAAATTTAACATACTTAATTGCAAAGTGTATACATTATATTATAACAAAACACAAAAATTAGGGCCTAAACTGATTATGGGACTGAGAAAAAAACATTTGCAACTGATCGAATCATTGTATGGCAGCCAAAAAATTGTAATAAGGTGTTGCTACAAATTGGCAATAGAATATGGATTAAAAGAAAGCTTGATGTTTGTTATCCTGTATTTGTTTCATCACAATGTTTTTGCATTTATATTTATTACTAATCAAATTATATTTAAAGCTATTTGATTGATTTGTTTGCATCATTAAAATAATAATTAAAAGATCCAATTCCTTTTTTTTAACATTTGCTTTGTACAGAAATATATACAATACAGAATAATTATTGTAAATATGAACCATCAATTAATAATTGAATTTTACCTTTACAAAAAAAGGGGTTAACATTTTAGAAGAAGAAATACGCAAGTATGTTAGAGTAAAGTAAACTGAGATAGGGTATACATAGTGTCAAATTTGAGCAGGCTGTTTTCCTTTCAAGAGAAAAATTTCCACAGAAATTGTGTTTCTTAATTTTGGTCTAAAATTTGGCAAATTAATGTAATGTACAATAGAAAAGCAGGTAGGCCTAATTCATTTTTATTATATTTTTGCATTCAAATTATAATGAGCTGCTTTAGCAAATGAAGACCCTTAAAAAAATCAAAACCGAGTATTGGGGCTTGAACTATTTAGAATACTGTTGCTTTCATTACTTTCAATATCTCCACTATAGGCCTAACTACTAATTTTATCAAATTTATTATGGGCATTGTCAATGTCAATTTCTTGCAAGCTTGACAAATCAGAATTTTCTTTTTATCAACAGTCTGAATTCACCTTCGATAGGCATCCCCTCACCAAACATATTGTATGTTTCTCTGCATATCAAGTGCTTTGTGGTCAATACCCTCATTTCAACCAAATAACAAGTTACAAGGGAGGGGGGGGGGGGGAGTACACACATGTTTCATTTCAACCCAATGCAAGGTTTTTGTAAGCAAACATCCGTAACTCGTTGGATCTAGTCAATTTTTAGCTTCTAATTTTGTATTGAAGACTAAATCTAGAATCTATGTTCATGTTGTTGTGTCTTTTATTCAAATGATCAACATGAAAGTATTTATTTAAGAAAGTTTTTGGGCCTAATTAATACGTTAGCCTAAAGCACAGAATATGACAAATCTACTTTACAACTTGGATCTAGTCTAGTAATCTACTAGATCTATATCTATTCTTAGTAATAGTATTGTAGGATCTAGAATTCTAGATGTACTTCCAAGTTCCAATCGGACAATCGACAAGGCAAGGAGTAGTAGTTAGGTGAGTAACAATAAACTCAATCACAGAAGACAGGACGCTAGCCGTCCAAAACTAGTTTTACTATTTTAGTATTTTACTATTACTATACACATGGAGTGTTAAAGCTCGTTATTACTGCGAAAAACGTGTAAAGTACCTTATCATTAGTCTATACATGGTTTCTCGTTTCTTAATTTCGAAATCATCCATTGCTACTTAATATTTATTTGGAAGGTTTGTTGTAAGAATAAACACCGGTAGAAAACGCTATTTCTGAGAGTTACTTTCTCTTTACTGATGCTAGGGATCCAATTATTTTGAAGTTTTAATTTATTCTTTTGCTTTCATTTGTGTTTACTCGAGAGAGTTACCATAATTTAAATATTAAAATTATAATCTTATAATTATAGGTAGGTCTAATGAATATGAATTATTTTCATTTTTTCTTTATTTTTAAATAAACGCAGTTTTATAAAACAATAGATTACTCCCAAGTAAAAATCGAACATTAAAATTCCTACATCTTTTTAATGAATTAATTGTTATTTATTGCAACTTAATTAAAATTTGTTGCTGATAAATGTGCATTTCGATTGGGGTTTTAGTTGAATTACTAAAGAATTTTTATTTATTAAACGTATGCATCAATCGTTCAAAATTCATATAAAGGTAAATTAATAACAAATCCACATGAATTAATTTAATATTATTATTAAAAACCTTAACCTGCGCTAGTTTTGGACTTCCGTGTGTAGCAGTGTAGATTACTGTGTATACTTTTCTGTGCTGTAGATAAATGGAAAGTATATTTATGCTGTGGTCGGCGGTCTCATGACAGAAAAGAAAGTTAATAGTGGGTAAAAATACTAACATCAGAAATGGCAGACGGTCTTGCTAGAATTCTTGCTAAACCTGGATTCGATCCAGATCAATGTAAGTAATAATTGTTTTTGTAAGTAAAAGGGGGCGTGGTTAACAACATATATTAACAATACATTAATTAATACTAATAGTAATATTTTTTAATAGCAACATTATGTTGAACATAATTGTTTGTCATAATCAATTCAATAGGCATAGGATGTTTATTATAATATTAAGGAGATGTCATATGAATATTACAACTTAATTTTTTTAAAAAGCTAATGATATTGAAATGGTTTTTTTTTATTTTTCTAACCCATTGTTCTGTATGTTTCTAACACCACTCATCAAGGACAAGATATGATATAGATCTAGATACAGGGTTACCAGCATAGATACTTTTAGATAGTAAAAGCATGGACTATTAGCATTAGGCCTATAATTATTTAATATTAATTAGGCTATAGACTTTATATTTATACTTACAGTAGTAGTCTAGATACTAGTAGTAAGCCCTACAGACAGTACAACACCACACACAGTGTAAGAGTTAGGGAATGGTGAAAGAATGATGACTAGAAGGAAGAATCCCTGATCAGATCAACTTTTACTTCACTTAACTAACAACAACTAGATATAGAGGTCTAGTAGTAATTGAATTTGTAAAAATGTAACAATGGTACGATAGCAGTAGGATGAAATATACCCTGTATTGATTCATTAACTGTGGTATGAATCATTCTATGATATTGAATGAAATGCTAGGGTTAGGTCCATTTCCTGTGGTGTTATATTGGAGGAAAAGCTAGGATTAGTTAGGCATAAAGGTAAAAATACCAACTCATTAAACTATTTAAAAAAGTAAAGTAAAGTTTCCCTTTCAAACCTGACGGTCTATGAGGCAAGTGAAGTAGAGTTCACTTGTTTCTGTGACCTTGACATATGAAGAGATAGTGTGGTCTGCACTATGCCCAGCAGCCTTTACGTTCCCTTACTTGAGTTAGGTACCCATCAGATTTGGGTGGACTCAGGGACGGTCTACTGACTTGAACCCGGATTCGAACTCCAGACTTACAGGTTAGCAGTCCAGCCTCTCAACCACTAGACTACTCTGTCCCTATTAAACTATTTATTAGGGCCTAATTGACTTAAATAACAAGATAGGCACTATATGTTTGTGTTAGTAATGGTGGTAGCTGATCTTATTACATCATTCAAAAGAGATGATGAAACAATTACGGTTCAAGTAATGACTGTAATGTTCTTCAACTAAAGCATATTTTATCTTTCAGTTATTGCCAAGCTTTCCAGTAGTGGTGAAGATGCTTTGCTTGAAATGAAAACAAGAGTTCACATACTAAATGATGAAACGGCACAAGCACTTAAAAAGAATGTCTATAAAAATTATTCTCAGTTCATTGAAACTGCTAGAGAAATTTCCAGTAAGTAAAAATCAATCTTTTTTTTTAATATGTCAACATCTTGTCTGTTTGTTGTAGGCCTATTAGTGTTTAAAGTTTACCACATTTCAAGAAAGATTAATATAAAATTAAAATATTTTAGCACCAATACATTATACTTTTAGACATTTCTTTTTTAAACTCTGCATAACATGTGAGTCTGTTTTCAGTTCTGGAAGGAGAGATGTATCAGTTGAGTCATATGCTTGCCGATCAGAAATCTCTAATGGGCTCAATGATGGAGATGTCATTGGTTAGTGATAAGGGTAAGGGTAAATTTCTTACATTTTTTAACTGGTCTTCATTTTTATTTCTAAATTTGATGGTGATAAATTATCATAAAACTAAAGGTTCTCTTCTACACCTGTAAACCAACAATTTAACTAATCAATTCACGTTAAAGTCTGTTGAAATTTTAAAATACTATATTGATTGTTTGAATAAAAATTTAAAAGATACGTTTATTGAATTACTCTCTTGATTTAAGCTATTTGACTTCATTTTATTTTTCATTTACTGAATGACGTCATGGCAAATAAAGTTTAACTTGAATATTATTTTTACAGCTTATGTCCACGGCCTTAAAGGAGAGGAAGATGTAAAAGTGAGTCCCGAAGAGGAAACAAGAAGAAATTTGGCCTTCCTGTTAGAGAAAGTTGAAGGCTGTTCAGTAAGATTTTATTTTTATAATTAATAAGCTATTTCTACTTAAAAATAATGTAAGAACATTGAATTCTATTATTTTTTTTTTACATATAACTTTTTTCAGACAAATGTCATTATATTTTATTCATCACTTCTTTAATATTTTAATCTAGAGTGTTGAATGAATGCCATGTTTGTTTTTACAGAGCGTAGCTGATGTGCCAGGTAGACAGTTGGTGCATGATGGGGATTTAGTTGAACTTGACACAGAAACACATTCACAGATTCAGCGAGTTCATGCTTTTCTACTTAATGACAGCTTAATGATAGCAACATGGATACCCAACAGGTAACAGATACCTATTTATATGCTTTAACATAGATTTAAGTTTCTATGTTTCCCAATGAATTTTGACAATTATATTTTTTTTTAAAAAGAGTACAACAATATCATCATGTCATCATGTTTGCCTGTCGTCCCTACTGGGACATAGGCTGCTGACAAGAGCTTTCCAGACGTCTCTGTCCAGGGCTAGTCTCTCCAACTGTCCCCAGGTGTATCCAATCTTCTTGGTGTCTTCTTCCAGGTCACGTCTCCAGGTCTTTCTTGGTCTGCCTCTCTTCCTCCTGCCTTGTGTATTCCAGGTGAGGGCCTGTCTTGTTATGCTGGATACAGGCTTCCTGAGTGTGTGGCCAATCCATTTCCATTTTCTCTGGAGGATCTCTACTTCCACTGGCAGTTGATTTGTCCGTTGCCATAGAACATCATTTCTGATGGTTTTAGGCCAGCGAATTCTCAGGATCTTTCTGAGACATGCGTTTATAAATGATTGTATTTTCTTCTTATTTATAGCAGTTATTCTCCATGTCTCGGCTCCATAGAGTAAAACAGGTTTTACTAGTGTGTTGAAGATCCGGATTTTTATTCTAAGGGTTAACTCTCCCGAACCCCAAACATTTTTTAGTTGGTTGAAGACTGCTCTTGCCTTACCCGTCCTTATTTTTATGTCTGCTTCTGTCCCACCCTGCTTATCAACAATACTTCCAAGGTAGGTGAATCTATCCACTTCTTCTAGGGCTTCTTCTGCCAGTGTTATAGGGTTGTTGTTTGATGCATTGACTTTGAGAACTTTACTTTTCCCTCTGTGGATGTTCAGACCCAGGCTTGTAGAAAAATTAGCAACCCTGTTGGTTTTATCCTGCATTTGCTGTTGTGTGTGAGAAAGGAGGGCCAGGTCGTCAGCAAAGTCCAGGTCATCCAGCTGGCTCCACAATGTCCACTGTATACCGTTTCGCGTTTTCTCTGTTGACATCTTCATAACCCAGTCTATGGCCAGTAGGAACAGGAATGGTGAAAGTAGGCAACCCTGCCTTACTCCGGTCCGTACTGGGAAGGCCTCTGTAGTCTGTTGGCCATGCACTACTCTACATTTGAGACCTTCATATGAAGACATAATAATGTTGACGTACAACAATATACCAACTTAAAATTAACACTACATAATAAAAGGATCAAAATTAAAAGGATAATAATTCCCCAAAGTGGCTACACCTAAAATAGAAAATAACATTTATTAATGGCTGAAAGAAATTGAACTAGAGCAATCATCAGGTATTCCAGTATAATTTCTACTGAAAGAAAATTGTAAATACATAAAACACCTAAAGGTCTATGTGGACCTTATCTGTAATTAATAGATCAAATACTCTGTTGCATGACCACTTTGTCTTTAAATAAATTATTGGTGCAAATTCTAAAAAAAAAAAGATCATTCAAAAGTTTACTTTTGTTGTAGGAGAGGACCAATGCGTTACAGATTTCAAGGTTTATATGAACTGGACAGTTTGGCTGTCGTAAATGTCAGGGACACTGGACCAATGAAGAATGGGTTCCAGATTCTGATGTTCCCTGAGTCCCACATGTACCAAACAGACACTGCCAAAGCTAAGGTAAAGTTTTTAATTGTTATGGAACAGTTTGTCATCCCACATTTTAAAAAATGACAGCTGTGAATTAAATCACTAATTTAACTCCATAAATCTGTTAATAAAACTTTTTTAATAGTATATATATCTAATCATTTTTGTGATTTTATTTCATGCTTTTTGTATTTTAACTCAATATTCAATTAGAACATTTAAAATTCACTGCAACCAATATCTATTTTATGGGACAGTTTTAGAGTAGTGCACTAAAATAAAAAAGATGTTTCATTACTCAAAACTACTGTGCCAATAGGGAGTTGCCATCTCATATAAGTCAAGTTAATTATACTCTCTTCTGCCATTATCACACAGATAAACTCTACTCTGTCTTTAAAAGAGTACTATAATTGTTTTTTTTTTTTTTGTTTTTTTTTAAGATAAGCAGTTCAATTAAGACTTAAATGAATTTATTTTTGTTGTCATTCAGCTAATTTCTTTTTAAACAAGAAATATTTTGTTTTCAGCGCCAGTGGTTAGATGCTTTAGAAGATACAAAGAAGAAAAAGGCTGTGAGAGATAAACAGAAGAAAGAGGCAGCCATGAGGTTGGCTGAACAGCAGTTACAGGCTGCATTAGCATCACCAGGGGAATCTGATCTATCCAAAAGTGGGTCGGCAAGTTTTTTCTTATAACTCATCCGCTTAGTTGATATAACTACACAGAAGTCTTCATTCTTTAATTAGGATGCATATTATGCTTTTTTTTAACCACACAAAAACTAGTTCTTCTTATCTTTTATATTAATTAAAATAAATTTAGGTAAATAATGGACCATATTACTTTCGCTCACAAACAGATCCAAGTTATAACTTTTTAAAATGTCTTTAGGTTTTCATGATGACACAGAGGAACCTGTTGCAATGGACAGAGATTTTCTCTCTGTTGATTGGTTACAAGAGTTGCCAGAAGATTTAGATATGTACATAGCTCAGCGTAACTTTGAGGATGCTGTAGATCTAGTCGAGAAAGGTTTGTTTTACAATTACTATCCAATAATATGTTAATTCAAAAAAGAAAAGTCATCCTTTCAAATGAAGTTAAGTTGTAAAAATTTAGCCTTTATTAACTTGTATTCCCTTACTTTCAATAGGTTTATAAATATATAAACCAAAAGAAGTATTTAAACTTCAGGAAATAAAAAGTGCAAAAATAAATTTGGACATTGTCCACATTAGAATCTAATGCAAATTTTTTTTAAATTGTGTATGTTATTTGTGCTTTAGTTAATAATTGGTCTGTGTTTAAAACTCTGCTCTGTGATTGGCTGTTACCATAGATATACTAACACTCTTATTAACCACAATTCTCTTTTATGTGCTGTACTATTTAAAACTTCTAATTGCCGTTTGTCTTTTCTTCAGTGTATGATTTTTTAACGGAATGCCCAAAAGGACCTGCACTAAAAGAATTTAGGTAAATTGTATACCTGTTACCCTTTCTTCAATATCTGTACCTTATATAGTTGGTTGGATTTTTATATACAATTTGTTTACCTATTAATTTATTTGACCGGGTTAAGTGATTTTTTAATTTGATTTTTTTGTGTTGAGATTTATCTGTACACTTGACCTAATGCCAGCCAGATCTAGTAGAGCAGTAGTGCATATGGGTTTTATAAAAATGTGACATCAGCCTTAACAGCATAACATTAGCTCAGACTGGCACCCCGTCAAAAGAGCGCACGACAAAAGAGCGCAGACAAAAGAGCGCCGACATAAGAGCGCACTAATTTCCTGACAAAATATGAACAAGAAAATTAACTCAGATCAGAAGGCATCGTTTGATGTTAACTCTTTTTTGTTTCATTAAAAAACTAATTGTTCAGTTTCTTTAACTAAAAAACTGGTATAATCAACGTGAAGTCCAATTATTCAAAACTCAATCTAATAACACATACAAAGATTTTAAATGTTAGGCCTAAAGTGAGAATATAAACTGAAATGAAATGTAACAAAATAAAAATAAGTTCCATCAGCATTTGCTCTGTCCGTTCGATATATGTAGCCTTCGACCAATATAATAACCTTCCCTTTCTGTGATTCGATCTACTCCATGTTACTTGGGTTAGAAATATTGTCAAACTGCAAACATATTAACCATAATATATAAATAAAGACGTTGTTCTTTCGCCGATTGTTTAATTAAGACAAGTGTTAACCATGTCCTATTCGTTTAGCGTACAACATATGTTTTTTTTAATTGACTGCGCTCTTATGTCGCCGCTCTTTTGTCTGCGCTCTTATGTCGCCGCTCTTTTGTCTGCGCTCTTAAGTCGGCGCTCTTTTGTCGTGCGCTCTTTTGACGGGTCACCGCTCAGACTAATTATAGATATAGATATTGTTCTCTATAAATAAACCTTAATTTTGTATGTATTTATTTTTTGTTATTGTTTGATACAGAGCGAGGATAGAGCACAGGGTAAAACAACTGACAGACAGTCTGATGAATGAATTGCAAGTCTCCCCAGAAAGATCACTTAGAGGGGGTCCAAGGGCCGCAAGAAGAGCTGTCACTCAGCTTATTAGGCTAGGCAAATCTGCTCAGGTGACCAGATTTTTTTGCATTGTTAGTTTAAATATTTCATTTCACTAAAAAAAAAGTAATTAACTCACAATTTCATTTTGTTTATTGTTTTAGGCTTGTGAGCTTTTCTTGCGAAACCGCAGTGCTATCATCAAGTACAATATAAGGCAATTGAAATTCGAAGGGGCAACAACATTGTATATACGCTGTTTGTGTGGTGTTTTTTTCTCTTCCCTGTCGGATACATCTAAAGAGTTCATCAAAGCGTTTCCTGGCCACTATGGTTGCTTTTCATGTTAGTAGTTATCAGCCCTTGAATTACTTTTACAGTAATTAATGTATGTTTTTAGATTGTGATGTTTCTTGGAATTTTAAGCAGTAATTTAAAAAAGGATTGTTGTATATTTAAAAAATCTTTTTTCAGCTTTTGTGATATGGTCTAAACAAGAACTAGAGTCGTTTGTCAGTATTTTCAAACGTCAGGTGTTTGAAAGTAAGGCAAGTCTCACAACTATAGCAGATTGTGTTGTGCTTGCCAAAAACCATTGCGAAGAGGTAATAATTTTTTTTTATGGATTAAAATAAATGAAAACAAAGAATGGTTCATAAAATCTTCAAGAAACAAATAAGGGTTTGACAATCAGAATAAAGAATAAAATAATTCAGTACAATAAAGCACATATAATGACAAAGATTTAAAAACAACAATGATATGTTATGACAGTTATATTAGATAGCTCATGTTTGAAAGATTCTTCCCTTCAAATTTAGGTCCACTAGAGTTAGATGTAGGGTTTATTTCTAATATAATTTGTATAAGATTATTAATTTTTTGCATTGATTAGCTGCATTTGATATATTGTTCTTTACATTTAAAATAAATCTAATACAGTGATACTTTGTTGTTGAAGTGAGTTGAAGCAGCACTAATGTTTTAAACTATCTATTTTCAGTTGAGTGCTATTGGGCTGGACATGAAATTCTGTCTGGCAAGTCTGTTGGATATCTCAGTCCAGAATGTCATAGAGGAGACCAGAGATCAGCTGATAGAAGGGATCAAATACAGATGCAATGTAAGTGGCTTTTTAAGATATATAGGCTTTTGGTTTACAACTACTAGCTTAGTTAAGGTCACCTTTTTTTTTACATCAGTTGATTGAAGGGATCAAATACAGATGCAATGTAAGTGGTTTTTTTTAAGATATATAGGTTTTGGTTTACAACTACTAGCTTAGTTAAAGGCACCTTTTTTACATTAGGTTTTTTTTTTATTTTTTATAAAAATTTATTTGTAATTCTTATTAGTTTTTTTAAATATTCAGTTTCATTTAAATTCTGTAGCTTAGAGTCTGTAGGATGTCTCTGAGTCCACCCAGCTCTGATGAGTACCTGACTCATATTAGGCAGCTAGGCACAGTGCCAACCACACTTTCCTCCTTTATGCCAGGGTCCTTAGAACAAATAAACTCTATTTCCTCTTCCCCAATGGGAAAAGATGATGTGATAATTTATTATGAGTAAAGCTGTTGGATTAAATGTTTAACACAAAATATCTATTTGGTTCAGGATGATCAGTGGCGCCCTATGAATCACCTTTCACAAGCAGACTGTGAGAAATATGTCAGTGAGATTGCTGTACAGGGATTTGATATTAAACCTTATGTTTATGGTAAATCAAATTTTAATTTAAAAAAAACGCTATTTTAGTAGTAATTCTATTAATGCTACTTACCATTTTTTTACCATTTTTTAAGCAACAATTTTAAAAAGTAAGCATTTATTCTTTTTCCTTTTGCTCTTTAAACCATTATCCTATCATAGGTTCTTAAATGTTTGTTTTTCTGTTACAGATAAATGTTTTATAGCTACTACAATGAACTCAATTCAATTCGCCAAAAACATTACAATATTTGCTGAAGATCTGTTAAAGTTGTTTACAAGTGACCTTGAAGATGTGATAGCCAATGCCATTGCTGAAGTCTATAGGTCTCACCTAGCACACATTGAGAGTTCGTTAAAATCTGAGAAATTTAGAAAAGAGGTGGGTTTTATTTTAGTGTGTGGAAGGTTACAAAAATGGTGTGTTATTTAGGGTGCAAAGTGAAAAGAATATTTATACATTAAAATCATGAATAGTAAATATTAAAAACTCACAAGTAGAAATTTGTTATTTAACTATACAATATTTTAAACTGAAGTTGTTTAAACATTTTTACTGTTTTGTCTGTTTTTGTCGGAAAGCATATGAAGGCACTGTTTTTCAGTACAACATCTTGTGCTGTTGTTTAAATTAAGTGCCCAATATTGCAGGGAATTCTTGTAATTATACTAATATAGAACTACCATATTTTATTTTTACAATGCTTGCTAGTTTAATGTTATGTAGCAAAATAAAACTTAAATCTCTTTATTTTTCCTTCAGCAAACTTTGATTCTTAAGAATGCTCAGTTCCTCCTTGAAGCAGTCATGGGGAAAATAGAGTCATTGTACACTGCCAGCGATATTCACTTTCCTAATCAACTCCAGCAACTGAATGCTTATTATCGCAAGTTGAAATCTATGGTCAGCAAGTGATTAGTGGATCTATAGTTTGTGAACTTTTTGAAATATCTACACCTTTAGAAGGAGCCTCAGGAATGAATATTTAATTTGATAACAGTCATGTTAATTATTGGGAATTAAGTTTTACTAAACAAAAAATACCAATTCCCATAATTCTGTTAAAATATCTTTGGTTTGAAATATTATACAACTAAGAAATAATTTGTGAATGGTATTTAAACAGGTTTTCTGGTGGCTAAAAGTTTTTAAAAACGTATGTGACTGGTATCAGTTGCCACTTACATTTAACTCTGTACCACCCAAAAAGTCGCATTATGCAAGTTAATTTTATTAATGTTGTAGTAATTTATTTTTCCTGACATACTAACACAGGAGACTTATAAGAACAAATGAAGGCCTAAATCTATGTTATTTACTCTTCATTATAATTTATCATTCTTTTGTTCATTATTCATGATCATTGTATCACACAGTAATCATTGTAACATCACATAATAGTTATTATTATATCTTTCATTACCATTATTATTTATAATAATATCACTCACTCATTGTAATTACATTACTAGCCACAAATGATTTAAAAAACTGATCTAGGGTAAGTATAATGAATTATTTTAAAGCTATAAATGAATATACACTCAATTGAAATGTGAGAAGGGAGAAACCATCTGCTCATTTTTTCATCTAAAAAGTTACCAATACTTCAATACCTCCCCCTCCTGGTAAGGTAATTGTTTTGTTACATGTGTGTATCAATTTAAAAGGGTATTTCCTGCGATGTGCTGGGTGCTATTCACAGCAGGGGGATACTAGTATCAGTGACAAATGGTTATTCAAAGGGGTTTTTTGTGTCACCATTTTTGACCAAAGCTTTATCAACCATTTTGATCCCCTGGTCACAATTAAATCAACACATCTTTGTTTGTGTTATTTGTTAGTTCTAGTGAATGACTCGGTTTCAGTCCACCAAGTAGGGATACTGCACTCTAGAAATTGTTGAATGGTGAAAAGACTTACTACATGAGTTGTTAATAGAGTTAATTGTTTTTATGTAATCCTTACACATCTGGGGGTTGAACAAATTAATTTTTCTACTTAGTATCTTACCACTTAAAAACAGACCCCCCCCCCTTCATAAAATACTTTTTGAAAATGTATTTGTTCTCCACCACTCCCATTACATTACATGCTAAATAATTTTATGTTGAAGATTTTCAAAATTTTATTGCGGGTTCAATGAGATTTAGAGGTAAAAATGAACATGATGTTACTGATGTATTTAAAAAAAGTGATAGGTAGATATTTAAGGAAAAGTAAACATGATATTACTTATGTATTTTTTTTTTTAAAAAAGTTTATGTGATAGGAAAATTAAATAAGATGTTACTGATGTATTAAAAATGTTTATGTGATAGTATTGATAGGTAGATGTTTAGGAAAAGTTTGTGACCTACACTTTGTGATGATTTTTTTTTTTTGTATGTTAATGTTACTGGAAACTATTTTTTATCCTGTGATCTTTTTTATTGTGCTTGAGCTTTTTGATTTCACCCAACCATTGACTGAGATGTAAATTGTATATACAACAATGTTTTTGTTTACCTTGTTTAAAGACATGGTGTGTTAGCTGATGAACAAAGTGTGGATCAGTATGTACAGTAAAATTAGCACTCATTTTGTTCATAGAAATACCCTAACATACTACGAGATGATGGAGCTTACTAATTTGTCAGCTTGCCAAGGAATGAAGGCTTAATGCAGGTGCTGAAATACATAATTAGCACTCAACTAGAACATGTAATAGTTCTTAGCACTACATAAATTCTGTTTTAATTGAGTATAAATATTTGCTTCAGCTGAACTTTTTTTAAAATCTTAAATCCAAAAATAATAAAATATACCATTCAATGTTAATATGTTACTATATGTAACTATTGTTTAATAGCCAGATTCTGTATGCTTCAGTAAGCTTCCACTAATTCAACATTTGTTTACAGAACAAAACTTTCTAGTAGAACAAAATGTGCAATAAAAATGAATTAAATATTTTTGTGTTTTTTAAATAGTCATCGTGTGGAAAAGCTAATTTGTTTGATTATTGTGAAATATTAGACATTCATTTATTTACTCATTTATTTTCAAAAATTAGCCTTTAGTTTGGTTTACAACTTTGATATTCAATTTAAAACAAACTTACAAATATAAAACGACAACTCTTGATAAACTTAAATTTGAAATTTAAAAATAGGTTACCTCCCTTGCATGAACGTATAAAATTTTCTATCTGCTTTCTTGGTGTTAATTTTTGGACCGTTCATTAATGATTTTTTTTTTTCAGCTTCTAAATAATACGTTCTTTTTTATATAACGATGAAGAAAATGTTTTTGATATATTTTTCAGGCTTTTTTTAATTGCACAACTTGTTGGAATTCTATTTTGTCTCAACTTATTTCGCGCCAGCATGCAGAACTTGCTGTTGCTGTCGCAGTTATAGTTTTCTCTCCACACATCATCCAGTATAGTACCATATCCAGTATAGTACCATATCCAGTATAGTACCATATCCAGTATAGTACCATATTTGTTTTTACGGGTTTTTGTTTTCAATGTTAAAATGTGAATTATTCCTTATGTGATGATCAACATTTTACCATGTAGGGTAGGATAGGGTCCAAACCGTAAAATTGTGTTTCATCTATGACCTGTAGTATTACGGCTCTTTAAATTATTTACAATCATTACAAAAAAAGAGCATAACGAATAAACTTGTCTATCATACATTTTGTGTTAATGCAAGCCAAATCAAATATTTTCATTTTTTTTACGTGCTTTCTTGGCAAGCGGCCTTACAAAACTTTTCAAAGGCGCCGTGTGCTGTAGGATTTAGCCTGTTCACGCTCTGCCAACTACACGTTACAGGTGCTGTAGAAATAACTCATCGATTATGGTCTTGGGTATTGATTGCCAATATAAAAAATGTCGGTCCAACAAGAAAAAAAATAATGTGTAAATAAATGAATGACAAATGTGGGTCTTAGAGGAAGAAAAACATTAATGTGCAAATAATTGAATTAGAAAAGCAAAAATGAAAAAGAAAGTAAGACTCTTTGTAAACAAGACCGTTGAATTGTACCACTAATTAGTAATTACCGCAGTACAGAAATGGCTGGCTGATTTAGTGACGTCACTGCAATGATTATTCTTATAATTATGAATAAAAATGTTGTTTTTGTTTTGCTAATTGGCATTATAAAATGCCTAGATTTCTATTTTTTTTAGCGCAATTTCCATACTGACAATTGCGATTATTAATTCTTAATTTCTGGATGGATGTGTGTCCGCAGCTTTAAGTCGTATCTCCTCCTCAACGAAGCAATATCGAGGACTAGTTCCAAAAGCAAAACTGTTAAACAAGTTCCGAGGATGATTGTGGGTCAAAAAAATTCCCGGAATTCCTTCCTGGATTTCCCGGAAAAGCCAAAAAACCTCGAAAAAAATGCAGTTTTTGGCCCATATCTCGGCTACCAGACCACTTAGCGACTTGAAACATTTACCAATCGATTCCTGCCATAATTTAAAACAATATTGCCGAAGAAAGTTTTCAAAAATATCCTTTCGTTCGGTCACAAAAAATTAATTAAGGAAATTGCGCTTAAATTGTCACTAGACTTTTTATTAACTTGTTTTAGATCCACTGCATAGTTTAGCTAACATTTTCATTCAGACTTTCTTTAAAAAGGTGGCCCATGCCTGGGATTTGTCCAGGGCTTTGGTCAGCAGACGACTGGTCACAAATTAAGTTTGTTCACCGTCGAAAACAAAAGCCCGTTATTTGGTCAATAATTAACATTCAGTGGCGCGCGGCCGGCTGCGCCAACTTCAACACAAACTGGCGAGAGTAAATACCAAGAGACAACAAAAAGATGCGGGACAGCGCCAATATTTTTGCTCCTCATTCCAGGTTTGGATTTGATTAAAAATAAAGATTTCCATAAGTATTTACGTTTTAATGTTTGACACAGAAACACCATTTTTGTATTTTTAGGAATAATTTTAGTCTATATTAACTAATACCTAAAAAATTCTCGATCTTGAATCATTAGAAGAAAGAATGAAAAAAAAATGTTTTACCTGAACGGTATTCCATAAATGATGTCACACACCTTTGTGTCGGCTGTGGGTGTAGGTCCATATTTGGGGTGGGGGGAGGGTGTCAGACGTTTATGGGGAATGGGCGATATAACATACATGCTACTTTATATTTTTAAGAACAAAATTTATCAAGGACATGTCAATTGATGTTAGAATTATGGTTATTTCATCAACAATGGAGGCTTTATTGTGTGGTGGAATTCGGGCGTGGGCTTCGTTTTGTGTGACGAATAGGGTGGGGGGATAACAGCCGTAAACAGCTGATACAACAGCGGGGCGCAGCTCGCATATTACTCACTAGTTTATATCTAAATCTTAACGTCATCTTCCCTCGTGTTTGTCAAGTCGCTTTTAAATGTGTATTAGTAAATCGTAATGAAGATTGTTCAAACGATACGCCTTGTTCGGCAGCCAGAGGCAGGCGTAGCGCTCACTCTCGGCGCCCGGGGAAAAACTTTCAATTTGACGCCCCCTTCCCCCATATATTTTTTTATATTTTTAATTCAAAACTGCAGCTAAAATGAGCTTTTTTTCCAACCCATGTTGGCGCCCCTAGGGTCGGCGCCCGGGGACATATGTAATGTACCCCCACCCCCGTCGCTACGCCTCTGCCGGCAGCCCCCACACCCCCCTTCTTTCATTGCTTCTCACCGCATGCCTGACATACCTCCAGATCCTCGCCCCCCCCCCCCCCCCCCCTCCAGTCACAAAAAATTTCCGATCTACGAGAAAAATGGGAACGTCTTTCAATTGTGGCTGCCCATGACTCATGTTCGTTTCATTGAAGTTGATTTAGGAAATGGGCATTCATTTATTCCGCTTCAACAGATTGTATTTTTTGTAAACAATAGAGGGTCGTCCATAAAATAAATCACGTCACATGCTCTAGGGGACTTGTGTGACGATGTGCGACGAGGAGGGTGGCAGGTGGGAGGAGAGTATGATGTCACTATTTTGCATTTTAAATCGTATTTTGCTTATGTGCATTTTTTTTTTTTAATTTTTCAAAGGACTAATATACCATTGAATCAAGTAGTACCCATGACCCACTGTGCAGGATGCAAAATCATTGTATCCCAGTTTCTAATTAAAACCAGTACCGGCGCCAGGTTATTTAGCGCCTTAGGCAAAACTTATTACAACGCCCCCCCCCCCCCCCTTCCCTTTGAGACTTACAAGCCCTATTAAAATTCAAAATTGCACGTGTTTAACAACGTCACGTCATGTGCTAGAGCGACAACTAAATCAAAATTATATTAGACAATCATCTGAAATGTTCGAAACTAAAAGAGTTAGATCAAATACAATGAGAATCTCATTATATGAAACGAGACGTCACGTGACTAGGGGAAGACGAATAGTCGGCCGCCGCAGGCGCCGACCCAAAGGGGCGCTAAACGTGGTAGATAATATAAAACGCTAATTACTGAATTATATACAGTCGAAATAAAGAATATTGACTGCTACGTCACTTGGAATTAAAGAAGGGACTTACTTATTGTTTTCTACATCGATTGTGTGACACCAAAATAACAAGTCAAAGTGACTGGTTAAAAAGGGGGGGGGGAGCATTTTCACCAACACAAATAACTATATATTGGCCTAATTTGAGAAGTGGTTGTACAATTGATAGTTCGTCCTGAGCATCTAAAAATATTGCTACGCATTTGTATATTACCCTGTCTATAGTTTATATAATAAAATCAAAGTTAATATTTATTCGTTACTTTTTAACAATGGCGGTTACACATTTTTGCGCCCCCGTATGGATGGCGCCCTAGGTAACCGCCTAGTTCGCCTTATAGGTAGCGCCGGCCCTGGGGGGAACTCTGAGCAGCAAACTGCACCCTACTGTCGGGGCGTTGCCCTTCGGAAATTTTTATTTTTTTTACATCGCAGACCCCCCCCCCCCCCCAACCCCCCGAGTTTTCTCAATAAATTCCCAAAGTTTTGGGCGATTTGAAGAATGGTGTAGTTATGTATAAAAGACAAAAGGCACAGACCCACAGTCAGAAACACTCTCATTTTATATAGGTAGCCTACTGTATAAGCCTATATTAAATTATTTACTTACGTGCATACTCAATTTACATTTTTCTAAAAATCAACTATTTTTTTTATTAAAGGATTAATATCAAATAAACAACAAAAGGACTTAAACCACTATTATTAAGTAATTATTTTTAAATAATGCAGTGATATCCCTGATCTTGTTAGTTTTCTCCCCTGATTAATTTATATAACACTATCCTAGATCTGAGCAATGTTTATGATATTACGTTCTTTAAAAGAAAAATGCTAGTGACTCATTTTAAACATTAGTAGTTGACTGTCATAACTACCAGTCGTCTATTGGTCTAAAAAGCCCCAGAGAAATTGTGGCGATCTGCCTGCGCTCGCCCTCGCACTTAACAAGATTTGCGTGTGATTCTGATTCGTTTGCGCGGAGAGAATTGTGTCAAACTTAGCAAAGAGTAGTTTAAATTATTATAGGACACCGGCTCATTTTCTTTTCGCATTTTGAATGGATTTTTCTAAATCTTTTATTTCTATAATTCATTGTAATATTTTTGTGGTGCTACGTTTTTTTTAAATCATACGTTTAAAAATCTCTTTATCTGATAGATTTAGAATCTATATAGATCTACATTAACAACACAAGTATGATTTTTTTATGTATACTGTTGTAAAACCGACCGCGATTCGTTCATTCATCTTTTTGTTATTTAGGTCACTGGATGCCCCGGAAACGGTTTTATCTGAAAGACCCCGGGGTGAAGAAGATGGCGAGGGGGGGCTAAACAAAAGAAGTTATGTTATCTGTTAGTAAACTTTCCTAGCCCGGATTAGGCTATTGTAATTTTCTTAATGGAGTAAAAATGTATTTCGTGAAAGCTAGGAAGCAATTCGAGGAGCATGATTCTAATGAAACAACAGAGAAAAGCCGGCGCGATCGTTACCAACGGTCCGATTCGGCTCGCTTGTTACTGCAAACAATACCAACAGCATCAGCACTGTTACCACCATCATTACAACAGCAGTCAACAAAGTTAGAAGATGCCACTAAAGTATCATTTCAATCGGCAGAATCAAAACGCAGAGCTAATTCAGGAACACCAGTAGATCTACTGGATGAGCTTCCAGATGGGGTGTGCTATCAACCTAAAAAAGATCTTACAAATTTACCCAGTTGTTCTGTCTCCTCAGTTACCAATGCAACTGCATCATCCTTACCATTGATTCTGCAAGATGGAAATTCGTCAATATGCTCAAATGAAGTAGCGGAACAGATACGTCCAGCAGAGGTATTTTGTTTTTATTGTCTCACCCCCCCCCCCCCCCTTTCCACTGCTAGTAGACTAGATTTATATCTAGACTCTAGATTCTAGAAGTTCTAGATCTAGATCGTAGATTTTTCTAGATCTAGATCTAGTCTAGAATCTAGATTTCTAGATCTAGATTCTATCACTGTGGTAATTAACTTGTTGTTAGTGATAGTAAGTTAGTAAGATCTAGATCTAGAATCTAGATCTTAGCTCTAGAGATCTAGATCTAGACTAGATTTAGAATTTAATATAATGATCTAATGATTAGATCTAATCTAGAACTAGATCTACATCCTGCTAACATGTATTTTTAAGTAAAAGGCCTAGTCTAGATCTAGATCTGTATAATTTTTCTGCTCTTAGATCTAATTAAAATACTTATGATCATTTCAAAGTATCAATTGTAATTCTATTAGCATATTTATATATTTCATTTAGACTATGTCGCTATGGTTTTTAGATGACCAGCAGGACAAGAGTAGTAAATTAATGTTAGCCTTAAACTTCAGGCTTAAGCCAAAGGGATTAGGCTAGGAAGACCAGCAAAAACTAGCTTTCACCATCCAAAACAATCCTTACATTGGTCATGGAATACTTTTTTGTTGTTTCTGATGCTACCTAGACATGTTGTTATTAAAAATTGGAAAGACAACTAGTAGAACAAAGCAGTATACACTTTATAATTTTATATTAAAATAAGTGATGTAAATGTACTCTTGACAGACTTTATTTAGAGCCTACTTTTAGTATTTTACTCATGTTCACTCAATAGGGCTGGTAAGTAGATCAATAAACAGTTATATGGCTCATGCAGGTTTTATTGAGCCGTAGAACTGTTTATTGACCTACTTACCAGCACTATAGATGGGTTTACAACTATAGCTTAAGTACTACTTTGTGTACCATGTTGTTTATCCCTCTACTTGTAAGCCTTCATTGTTGTCATTTATAAAAAAAAGTTTTTGGTCCATGTATACTACACTACCACTGGATCAAGTATTAGCTGTCCCTGGTTCATTTACCATTTCACTTATATTATATAGATGCATATCTAAGTTATTAGCACTGTCAGTGACAACATTTCCTTGATAATGAGCTATGTAGTAAGTAATAAAGATATTATCATTGTTTTCCTATTTAAACAATAATGCTTTAAACCATGTTTTTTTTTTAATTGACATATTACTTAATTATCTGTTGTCCATTGAAATTAATTCTGGTCAGATTAGTGAAAACAACAATGCATAAGTTAGAGTACTACAATAATAAATAACTAGCAAATTAAAAAAAAAAATAGTATTACTAAGGTAAAAAACTACCAAATTTTTTATGGCATCTTTATGTCAAGCTTTAGACCCATTTTCTGTGTTGATAAAAAAAAAGTGGTGAGGGGTCTTCATTCTCCATTTTTTAAATTTATAGCAGCTGATATCAAAACACAGATGTGGTGTGTTGTTTTTTTTTTTACATTGGTGCAGTGTCTAAAAGTGTGTTAAAGAATTAAAGTGTGTAAGACAAATATTTTCACTCTACCATTAAAAATGAATTTTAGCTGGTCTGTGATTTAATGTCCCAGTTTATCAGTGTATTAAAAATCTGATGTAATATCTTCTACTACATTTAAGGGTCTAAAAATGGGTTGGAGTTCTAAAACTAAACAGGTCAAAATCTTTTCTTGATGTGCTTTTATCAGTTATCTTTCAAGTTATAAAAACAAAAACGGTGAACATAGATAGTATTAGTTACTTGGTACCTTTTCTGTGTACAAGTAGAGATATGTCTATGTTTTTATTAAACCTTTTCAGCTTTTTCTTATTTCTGTCTAGACAGGTATACACTGTTATTAGTAGGGAGCACGGTTGTGTGGTTGACATGACCTAAACAAACGTATTCATCTGTTTGGTCCTTTGTTTGTCTGGTTGTTCGCCTGTTGGTTCAAGCTCTAATCACCGTGTCTACAGCTGGTTCACTGAACGAAACTCAGTTAAAAATAGGATACTGTTTGGGTGTTGTTTGTTCTAGTCTGGGGGTCACATTGTCATTGTTAATGTTTTAAGCATGGTGTCTGTCAGTGTTCTAATTATAGGAACAACGTAACTGCGTGGGGTTGGTTGTGGCGGGGACTAATCGAAGGGCACGACCAGTCGTCTATTGGTAGGACACGGCTAGTGGCGGCCAGTCGTCTATTTGGAAGGACACGACTAGTGGCGTCCAGTCGTCTATTGGTAGGACACGACTAGTGGCGTCCAGTCATCTATTGGTAGGACACGACTAGTGGCGTCCAGTCGTCTATTGGTAGGATACGACTAGTGGCGTCCAGTCGTCTATTGGTAGGACACGACTAGTGGCGTCCAGTGGGCTATTGGTAGTACACGACTGGTAGGGTCCAGTGGTCTATTGATAGGACACGACTAGTGGCGTCCAGTGGTCTAGTAGGACGTCCGTAGTTTGGTGGAGACTAGCCAACTAGTCCTATTATTATGATGTGTAGGGGAGTCATTCTTGAATGACGTTACACGTCGGTTGGGGGGGGGGGGGGGGAGAGGTGTGACCATGTGTTGCTTTCAAGGGGGGGGGGGGGGTAAGAAAAAACTAATTGTAGTTTATTTTTAGGGAAATCGGTGGATAGGCTGTGTGACGCAATTCTAGTGACATGCTTTATGTAACGAATGGGGAGTAGTGTGAGGTTTTTTTTAATCGTTTAAAAGTGCGTAGTCATTCAAGGCCTACCCTATTGTCTTGGAGAGGGGTGTGTGGGGAGGGGGGGGGGGCAAATGAAGACAAACAGCCATCAATCTGTGGCATGTTTGAAAGTAACGTACACTAGAGCTCGAGGTAAAGGACCTCATACAAGTCCCATTCTTTGTAGACGCCAGCTTGTAGAGCAGTGTTTGATTTCAATACAGCGCAGTGACAACAGCTCAACTCGGGGCTGTTCACTGGGTTAGTGCTGTCGGGCTGTTCACTGGGTTAGTGCTGTCGGACTGTTCACTGGGTTAGTGCTGAAGTCAGTTGTAGGACAGCACATTGTTTTTATTCTGGGCTGTTCACTGGGTTAGTGCTGTCGGGCTGTTCACTGGATCAGTGCTGTCAGGCTGTTCACTGGGTCAGTGCTGTCGGACTGTTCACTGGGTTAGTGCTGTCGGGCTGTTCACTGGGTTAGTGCTGAAGTCAGTTGTAGGACAGCACATTGTTTTTATTCTGGGCTGTTCACTGGGTCAGTCCTGTCAGTTGTAGGACAGCACATCGCTTTTATTCTGGGCTGTTCACTGGGTTAGTGCTGTAAGTTGTAGAACAGCACATTGCTTTTATTCTGGGCTTTTCACTGGGTCAGTGCTGAAGTCAGTTGTAGAACAGCACATTGTTTTTATTCTGGGCTGTTCACTGGGTCAGTGCTGTCAGTTGTAGAACAGCACATCGCTTTTATTCTGGGCTGTTCACTGGGTCAGTCCTGAATTCAGTTGTAGAACAGCACATTGCTTTTATTCCCCTATGATTCACAGCTTACATTAAACTTGCCTTTAGTCTAGTTCAGGTACACATTCGTGATAGGGTTAAAGAATTTTTATGGCCTCGGTAACTGCACCAATCGCGTACACGAACACCAGCAGTATACCTTTTATTGTGCTGCCAATTCTTTGTCTACCGGTTTCGCTTACATTCATAGTAGCCCTTATAGTGTTAGTACTGTTACCAGCGTTGGCGCTAAGGGAGTGTATTATTAGTATGTTAGGTATGCGCTTCTGTACTGGTGGGTGGGGGAGGGGTTGTGTAAAGTGAAATGCCCCTCAATCAGCGGTAAGATATTCCACGGTCAAGTATTGTCCCACCGTTGTGTGCTGGTGTGTGTGGGGGGGGGGGGGGAGGGGTTGTGTAAAGTGAAATGGTCCTCAATCAGTGGTAAGATATTCCACGGTCAAGTATTGTCCCACCGTGACGTGTGTCACCGCTCAGGTATGTCATGCAGTCATCTCACGGTCGTTAGACACGCTTGACCAACGTAGCTTCACGCTCCTGGTGATTGGTTGCAGTAGCTGATTGTACTGTGGTGGTCGTTGTGAACCGTGGTTGTAGTGGTGGTCGGAGTGTTTGTAGTGGTGGTCGTAGTGTTCGTAGTAGTGGTCGTAGTGTTTGAAGTGGTGGTTGTAGTGTGCCGTGGTTGTAGTTGTGGTCGTAGTGTACCGTGGTTGTAGTGGTGGTCGTAGTGTGCCGTGGTTGTAGTGGTGGTCGTAGTGTACCGTGGTTGCAGTGGTGGTCGTAGTGTACCGTGGTTGTAGTGTACCTTTGTTGTAGTGGTGGTCGTTGTGTGCCGTGGTTGTAGTGGTGGTCGTAGTGTACCGTGGTTGTAGTGGTGGTCGTAGTGTACCATGGTTGTAGTGGTGGTCGTAGTGTGCCGTGGTTGTAGTGGTGGTCGTAGTGTACCGTGGTTGCAGTGGTGGTCGTAGTGTACCGTGGTTGTAGTGGTGGTTGTAGTGTACCGTGGTTGTAGTGGTGGTCGTAGTGTGCCGTGGTTGTAGTGGTGGTCGTAGTGTACCGTGGTTGCAGTGGTGGTCGTAGTGTACCGTGGTTGTAGTGGTGGTTGTAGTGTACCGTTGTTGTAGTGGTGGTCGTAGTGTGCCGTGGTTGTAGTGGTGGTCGTAGTGTACCGTGGTTGTAGTGGTGGTCGTAGTGTACCGTGGTTGTAGTGGTGGTCGTAGTGTACCGTATTTGTAGTGGTGGTCGTAGTGTACCGTGGTTGTAGTGGTGGTCGTAGTGTACCGTGGTTGTAGTGTGCCGTGGTTGTAGTTGTGGTCGTAGTGTACCGTGGTTGTAGTGGTGGTCGTAGTGTGCCGTGGTTGTAGTGGTGGTCGTAGTGTACCGTGGTTGCAGTGGTGGTCGTAGTGTACCGTGGTTGTAGTGGTGGTTGTAGTGTACCGTTGTTGTAGTGGTGGTCGTAGTGTACCGTGGTTGTAGTGGTGATCGTAGTGTACCGTGGTTGT